ACTTTGGCTCATTCCCGGCAAAGGGCGTGCTTGAGGTGATCGACACTTTGGTATTTTTTAGTGCAAACCTTGCTTTCCAAAATTCTCCAGACACAAAGACAAAGGGATTGGTATCCGGAGATTTTGGTGTCCATTGGCGCTAGAAATGAAGCGAGGAGCCTCATTTTGTAACCATTCTTAGGTGGCGCGTGCTGAGTGCGATGGTGCTGAGTCCTGTTAGAATGTCCAAGGTCTGCGGCCAAAATGTTTGCATGACCAAGGCTTTAATAGACCCTCCAGAATATTTTCCCGATAATATTCGTCATTTATTCGTTTAATACGAGCGGAGAGCGACCATCAGCTGTTATGACGGCCCACAACATCACCATGGTCGGCGCTTGAGTTCTGGTAGCCAACCATTTTCAGCTGAACTCTTTGGCAAGTAAACACGATCATTTTGTTTGTTTACAAACTGCTGGACAACGAATATTTTCTCATCGGAGAAAACCAAATTCAACAGTTCACCACTTTCGGCCAAGCGAAGTAACTCTTTAGCTCTTTTGAGTCTACTCACTTTTTGGAACTTCAATGGCTTTACCTCGAACTCATTCTTCAATATTTGCCGAATGGAATATTGCAATATGTTCAACTCACGAGCCGCGGCCACCGCAGGTTTCGATCAAGTCGCTTCTTTACTTTTCGAACTATTTCTGCTGATGTTGCTGTTTTCTTCCGTCCACTTCCTTGACGTCAAGCTACGCTACCAGTATCACGGTAACGAGCGATGGTTCGAGACACAAAAGATTTATTCACATTTAAATGCTGGAGTGCTCTAACGATTGTCATTTGTGGTTTTCAAGCCAAATATAAAGAAATCACACTATCACGCTTGAATTCCATCACGAATAACTTTTTTTTCGCAAAATTCTCACGAAAATGCTTTTGTACGCTTGCAAACAATATAATGAGCTGTCACTGGAATAATTTTAACAGCTGTCGGACGAGTGGCTTAGAAATGACAGCAGTCTGAAGTTGGTTGCAGTTTTTTCATCTCACCCTGTATGTACACAATTAAGAAATTGGAAGGGAAGGAACTGTCTTGTTGTTAACCCATCTAAAAATAAATCTTTTCCTTTATATTTACAAGGTAGCGGAAGGTGGTACAATTTTCAGTACCCAAATAGCTCAAAGAGAAGACTAATCAAACTAAAACCCTATAAAAACTCCATATATACACCGCATATTACCAGTGGGGAGAAAGGAAAAAGTACAGTGATGATATCACCTGTCATGAACTTCGAGTGATGTCCGCATTCTAGGCAGGAATGTCTATCCATCTAAAACAAGGCTCGCCCTTTTTACATGGACGGCGAAATTTGCAAAATTTTGGCTTCCAATGCTAGATGTGTCACACTAAGTTTCTTTTCAGAAACCAAATCGCTCGAGCGATGTCCGCATTCTAGATAGGGAAATCTAGATCCTCAATCCATTTATTTTTCCACAATTTTGGCTTCCAATGCTAGGTGGTGCCACACTAAGTCTCTTTACTTTTTATAACCTCCACCATTTGGAAGGAACTTGAAAAATTAAAAAAAAAATCCGCCAGAAAATACCGCTCAAATGAAAACCATTATATATACGAAAACGTGGTGCTGTAGAAGTATTTTTTTGCAATAGGCTGTAGTAACGATTCCAAACTTCAAATACCAAATTCGAAACAATTCCGTTGAATAATGTCGCTAATATTTAGCTCTCTATCATTATTCATTTTGACTCGAGCGTGATTACAACAGACGGACATTGCTAAATCGTCCAAGAATTATACGCTGATCAAGAATATATATACTTTATTGGGTCTCAAACGATGAGTTACAAACGGATTGACCATACTACTACGTATGGTACAAACGACGGAAAACATGGCTTGAAAAGACCACCAATTTTCTAGTTAACAAAACACAGACGAGCTTGAAGTTTCGGTGAATATGTAGGTAGAATGTAAAGCTCTCAATATTCACCCCTACTCTGTAAGTCGTCGCCAAAGGCGTCGTCGTCTCAAAGTCGTTGTCACTCGTTGACGTCGGCATTGTCACATGAATGCAAAATTGGTACTTTGTAAGACGTCGCGGCCAGTGACGCCTGCGTATCGATAATTTACCACCAAAAAGTGTAATCCCTAACGAATAAAGAAAATTTTCTTCAATTTGTTTGGTAAAATGATTTATTTTCTTGATGAAAGTTCAAGTTCTAGTGATGAAGAACAGAAAAAAAGCCTTCGTATACAAAGAAAAATTATAAGGCAAAGGTCACCCAACATACCAAAAATATAATACAGCTTGAGAATAATATTATGAAAATAGTTTATCGTAAGAATTCTTCAACAATGCTAGAGAAAAACTTTTTTGCACAAACTTTTCTCAAATCTGTCCTTTGTTGACAAATTTGTTTTAATTTTTTTTTCTGAAAATTGTCGACAAAAAAATATTTTCTTTGGTTAAAATCAAAATCACGCGAATTTAAGACCCATTTCTGGACGAAATTCTAAGGTAATGATGAATAATAAATCTGGGAATCTATAGTGTATATTATTTCAATCTCATTTTAGAATAGAGGCGTCAAAAAGTTGCAAGAATTCAAGAGAAGTGAAGAATTAGTGGAGGAGATGCGGAAGCTCAAATAAGGGGAAAAAAAGCATCTAGGTATCAATGCAACAGGAGGCAGCGACAGCTAGGATGGCGATCAATGAATGAAATGTGTAAAATAATTAAAAAAATAAAAAATAAATATTTTATACCATTGAAAAAATAAGCTTGATATAATATTACTTTCGTAAGCTTATTCTGCAATTACAAGAATAAGCTTATGAATAAGGGTTCCCTTTCGATTTTTCTATAATTGTTAAACAAGCATTTCTCAATACATTCTCAAGATTTTCTCAAGCTTAAGGCTTATGTGTGAAAGCTTATTAAAATATTATTCTCAAGTCAATTTGGTATGTTGGGCAGATATATTTAACCTACCACATATCAAGTAAGTTTTATAATTTTTATATTTTGGGTCATGATACATGCAATTCATAAAATATATCATTTATCTACAGGTTTCAAAACCATTTTCGCATCAATAAAGCAGCATTTAAATACTTGCTTGATACTATTGAGCCGAAAATGAAGAAAAGTATTCGGTCAACTTCTGTGTCCACCACAATAAAGTTGGCTACAACTTTACGCTTTTTAGCACAGGGGTCATACCAGTTGAGTGTTGGAAATGACATGCATCTCGGTTTGGCTCAACAATCGCAAGGCTTGGGTTTTTCCCAAGTTCTTTTATTAAGCAATCAAATTACGTTCCATTTGTAATTTTCTCCATTTTCTTTTTTTTCACCAACTTATCAATCAATAAAAACACAGTTGTTTGAATCAAGGCGTCACAAGGCGTGCAGAAAAACCGTAACGCCCAAAAGTAAGTCGAGTCGACTCAACATGGTTGTATAAACGCCTTAGCGAGTACCAAGTACTCGTCGTCTGCTGTCGACACGACTTCAGGGGTGCCAAAATTAACACGGCCACACAAGGCGTCGACGTTAGCTGTCGACAACGTCTTACAGAGTAGGGGTGATTGTGTACATTTTGCTGGCTTTCGGTCCACCGCCAAGAATCAGGCGAATTGGTTTGACGCGGATTTGGGTCGAGTTGTTCAATGCTCGGTGAAGCCCCCTCTATGCCACTTCACTCGTCTGATCGCTGCTCCAGGAAGGCCCGAAAAAATGTCTGACTAAGTCGGGGTGCAATATGGTTTCCGGTCAAGGATAAAAAACGAGTACAGCATTTTCAGGCGGAAAACTTTTTTATGAAAAGACCACCAATTTCCTAGTTAGCAGAACAGGCGAGCTTTATGTTCCAGGGAATATCTAATTAGAATGTGAAGCTCTCAGTATTGTGTACATTTTTCTGGCATTCGGTCCACCGCAAAGAACCGAATTTGGGTCAAGTCGTTTAACGCTCGGAAAGGCCACCTCTATGCCACTTCACTCGTCTGATGACTGACCACTGCTCCAGTAAGGCCCCAACAAATGAATGAATGAGCCGGGGTGCAGTAGGGGTGCCGGTCAAAACTTCAGAATTACAAACACCTCTGCCGAAATTGAAAAGTTGACATTCACTTATATTTGGCATGAGCAACGAGTATGCCTTGGATAAATCAAGACTCTTTCGTATTTCCCATCAGATATTTCTTGGCGGTGAATCCTGACTGCTCACCTCACTATGTGATGATTAGACAGACGTTATGTTGCCCAACCAATTACGATTTCTACATTTCTGATCAAGCCTTGGAAAGGCAGTTATGAACAGAACAGTATTTATATTATTAAATATCCTGTGGATAACTTAAAAACTAGTCTAGTTGCGGTGTCTATAAATGAATAGAATGATTTACAATTTTCAAATAATTTATGTCCCTTTACACTTATTGAACGGAATTCTAACTTCCTATGTTTCTTCTCTTCTGCACTTCCTGTTACATCTATTTTTCGTAATGGATGTTACAAAAGGGACAACAGAGGTATTCATTGATGCAGTGAAGAGATAAGCAAGAACTGAAGACAATTAAGAATATCACAACATCAAAAGCTTGGCATAAACGTTAAACTTTGTCTCATGCATTTATTCCATACTCGTACATCAATGTATGAAAAAACTATTCAGTCTTCAAATTACTCTCTAAAAGCAACACTCCTTTGTCAATTCTATAATTAATACCAAAAACACTCGCTACCATAACATAACGATCTATTATTCTCAAAAGTAAGTAATGCAGACGAAAAATAAATATAACCCCTAAAGGTATGCCAAGAAATACAACATTTTTAATTCCTAATCAGAACAAAATGACCTTACACATTCAATCTAGAGAATATTTATTTCATTACTTACATATTACGAAGAAAAAAACGATGGTATCTGAAACAGAATAATCCTATAACTACATACATACTCCAAATATTTTCGCCAACACAAACCTTGTTTCGTTATTCATATATATATATATTTAAAAAAATGACAAGTTCATCTTACTAGTGTTTCTTAATAACTAAAATTGTCCTTACACAAAAATATTACTCTAATCATTGAACATTTGGAGGCAGTCGTTCCAGAGAAGATTAATATTTCTTAATTGTTTTTCGTATCAATGCCAAACGTTGCTTATGAGCTTCCGTAATGGCGGCACGTTTATAGGGTCTAAGTTCATCTGTACCAAAACCAGGAATCCACATGTTCCATTTACGTTCCAAATGTAATTGAACATCGCGCACTTCCACTTTGGAAACTTTACGGTGTTTGGCAAAGGCACATGTGGCCTTGACCGCATCTTCAACAAAATCATCGGCAATCTGTAGCAAAAGTTCTTCAACATCTTCGTCTAATTGGGCTGTGGTATCAACCTCTCTCACCAACTCCATGAGACGTGGTTTGGTTAGAATCTAGAAAAATGAAAAACAGTGTTTAATAACTGATATTTGTAGCTTAGACATTTTTTGTTATACCGGTTGATTTTCTGCACCTGTTGACGCCTTTGCATTTGAAGTTGTGGCATTACTGCCAGACCCTGTTGATGCATTATTGGCCGTTTGTCCAATTACTCCAGCCGAATTCGAATTTGAATTGGTTGCCATTGGACTACTTTGAGATGGTGATGCCATTATGATGTCCTGGGAATCGTCACCACCTGCACCGTTACTATCAAAACTATTAAAAATATCCGACATTTTTGTAATAATTATATTATACTCTTGAAATACCCAAAACCTTTGTTTTCGTTTACTTTGTAAAATAAAGCCCACAAAGTGGTGGGCAAATAATTATATACAGAATATAATATCAAGAAACCAAATCAAGCGGTACATAGGAATTTAGACTAGAGGAAATTAGGATTGTGTCTCTATTGTTTGGCTGTCCGTTTTATACAAATGAATGGATATAAATTGTGGGTATAGGTGGTTGTGGTTGTTGGTTGGTGGTGGTGATAGTAAAAGTTTTGATTCAGGTGATCTTTGGATTTGAGGCATATAGAACTAAGGAAAGGAGACCAGATGAGAACAGAAGATTGGCGTGTTCGTTTGTATGTAATAAAAAGCTGAAATATTATACAGGAATTTTTGGAAAAAATAAAAAAATACAAATTAAAATCATGGCCAATAGGTTGCTTACAACTAATTTCATTTTACCACTATCTATTTAAACCAATTGCATATTTTTTACAAACTTCTTACTCCTGTTGTTGTACCTTTTGTGGGGATGAGTTGAGGATAGTATTTGTTTAATATTAAATGATAATTTTCGTGGTAAAGTTAAAAAGTTTTGGTAAGAATATCAAAGCAATCCTGCAAATCACAAAAATAATAAACTATGCTTCTTCTCATCTTTACTGGTATTCACTGTTCATTGATAACACACACACTACAAGAAATGTTCTACCTAATGCAATGCCGCGTTTAAGAGGGAAATGGTAAATGACGAAGATTAAAAAAGTGTTTTATAGTCAGCGTTTACATGTGAGTTTCGTTATTCGAACTTGTTTAATAAGTTATATTTGATTAGTGATTTTATACAATTTATTTTTCCAAAGAAAATACATCTTCCAATGTATTATCAGGAGCAAGTATGTAAAATGTAAAAAACGCCTTGCGGAAACACTGCGACTTTGTAGTGTAGGTCTATCTTTGTATAGTAAAACTGGTTGAATATATCCGGATTAGGCAATAATGGGTTAAAGCGGATAACATTTTGTATCCAAATGAGCTATAACACTATATACTCTCATACAATCACACAAGGTAGGGTAATTTGATTAAATTTCAATAACACAACTTTGAGACTAGAAATGTAAATCAACTAATGCCATGTTTACGTTAGAACTTTTTGTAGGGTTAACCTACTTTGAGAGGATTTATTTGAAGTAAAAGTATTGGATATGACAATTTAAATCCAAATACAGTGGGTTAACCCTCATATATAAACGTAATGTAATAACAAATGAGACAAATTCTTTTGTTTATAAGACCCATGGTACAATTAAAAGGTAAGGTAGACTCCCAGCTGATTACAATTTTTTCTAAGTGTGCCCGACTTCTGCCAATTTTGTGTATGTATTTAAAGTTTTGAAAAATAAAAACAAAATATTGCGGGGCGCGCATTAATAATAATAATAACGAGATTGGCCATGGAATTGAAGAATTGAACACTTAGGACCGTATTTTTAAGAGAACATCCAGCCATTTCATTCACCTTTCGTTCTATTCGACTCATTTTAGAAATGAACAAAAAATATCAAATAAATTAAAACAACTCGTTGCCTATAATTTTCAATAATTCTGACAGGAAGCGTGCATAGCATCAGGGCTGTATTTTTGTAGTTTTACGAAGCTGTTCTACCTATCTATTGTACCATGGATGCATTTACCTATATTCTTCTACCATGCCCCCTTGATTCTACCATGGGTATGTACTTGAGAAATATGGTTAAAATTTCGAAAATATCAAACATCGATAGCCTTATATGAGCCTATCCCTCTCATATAAGATGAAATTAACTGTGAACTCCAAATAACAAGTTTTAAATCATTCTATTGAAAATTTGGCAGTGACCATCAAAATACTGCATATTGGGAGCTACCGTTACATGGGGGCCTATACGCAATTCTGAGGAAGTTCCAAGATTTTCAACAAAAAAGTAATATATTTACTTTGATCTCTCCATAAAATATTGTTCCACTCACTTGGGAGTTTAACAAATACACATTTTCTTTTGTGAACTTTGAGAAAATCGGTATATTTTAAATTGACTACTTGAGAATTTGAAATGAACATTTTTGTTTTTTTTTTTTCGGTCGAACTCCGAACCAAAAGCGGCGTTGAAGATGAATCAAAAGAACAAATTCCCTATTGAAAATATTTCCTCCGTGGTACCGTGAAACATTTAAAGTATGATCCTAACAAGAAAGAAATAAAAGAAAATTCCAAGTGACGTTGGGCGCGGAATTTGCAGATAATTTTGTTTTTTTTTTATTTTTTGCAATTCCAAAGTTCACAGACAACACACACATAAACAAATGAAGAGGGCAGATAACAACAATAGCAATGATGCAACAAAAATAAATACAGAAAACAGATATAAATAACCATTATTTTGGAACTCATGATAAGCCAAAACAAAAACCTGAAAATATAGGACAACTTTTATCAGACAAACACCTCGTACTGATTTCCCTACTGACGATTAAAGAAAGAAGCTAACCAACTAATTATAAATGAATTTAAAAACATGAGCTGGAGCTAATTTAATGAAGTATGACATGAAAATATTTCCTTTATAATTTTTATCCTTTATTAAAATTTTCAATTCACATTTCCGTAAAATAGGAATTGAACCCTATCGAAAGGAAATTAATATGAAAAACACAAATTAATGCGGTTTTTTTAATTTAATGATCTAAAAATGAAAGAAATTATAGAGATGGTGTTTTTCTTTCGACAACATAACAGGCCCCAAAAGAAAAATGCTGAGCGAGAAGAAAATTGAAGTTTGTATAAGAAAACTAGGATAAGGTTGGGTTATCATGAACAATATTAGGGAATGTGCCGAATAAATATTGGGTTCATTAGCACTGTACAATTTAGGCAGAATAATGAAAAAGATGTACACATTTTGGTCACTATAATATAGATTTATTTAGTCAGAATGTTAGTAAAATCACAAAATAATATGATATTCAATTAGTAAAATATAAAATAATTGTCCTCTAATATATATTGCAATTTTTTATGCAAGTTCTACTACTACATACCTTATATAACTACAAATGTTAGATTTCAACAATATATGGCAATTCAACGTTTTCCCAATTTTATAGCCAAATATATACCAACAAAAAAGACCACAACAATAGCCAATTTTTTAATATTGGCACGATTTACACCCTTAATGGAACGCACCACATCGCTGTTGTACAAAAATACATTCTTACTTTCTTCAATGAAATCGGCTTTCATTTTTTCATCGAATTTCCCATAATTATCATTGAGAACTTTACGCAGTTTACCCTTTAGCACAGCAATTTTCAACGGGAAATATGTTGCAGCACATCCCTCGGGACAAATGGAAACCTGTACTGGCATGGGTCTGGTGGTCAGATCATCTGGATCTGTGGGTTTCTCTGACTGTTCCAGCTGTTCTTCTTCGGCAGCTGTTACACCATTTGAGCCAGGCCATAATTTACGTGCTATCATACGTTTCCTCTGCAGCAACTGACCACCAGACATTAAAGCCATATACATTTGATAAGCATAGGCGAAGAGGAGCAACTTATCCTTTTTATTAACCTCTTCCAAATGATCCAAGTATTTACGTACTGCTGGACGCACTTCATAGGTATCTTTCCAGTCTGCACCATAAAAGTAGGCAAAGTCCTTCTCGAATGCCTCAGTACGACGAAGTTCAGTGGGCAACAATTCATCGGGTAAATTGTTTTCCAAGAATTTATAAATCTCATAGAAACTTAAAAGCCCATCATACCATACAGCATCATCAGATAAGGCTGGGAAAATTAAATTAAAGAAATGCAATTAAAATTGTTGCATAAACTACTTTCTGCCATCTCATACCAAATGCAAACTTCGCATTAACAAGAACATCGCTTAGTTTGTGAACTTCTTTTGTTGCAGCCCTCAGTTCTTTGGTAAAAGTCATATCTTGTTGAGTAACATCATCTTCGCCCGCTGCTGTTGTTGCTGCCATCGTTGCACTTCTTACTGGAAGAGAATTGATCTTATTTGATTCAATAATGCAAATAATATAACATCTTTTATTACTTCCGTCTTTTTTGTTTTCTTTTCTTATCAAAACAATGAAAATCCAGAAGTCGTTAACCCCCCAGCTGATATTGTTTTTATCTTGTTACGTTGTTCTATAATGAACTAGTCCAAAGGAACTGTGGGAACTAGGACCAATATTTTGGGTTCAATTAGCGCACTAGCTCCTTTAGTTCTTTTGGTAGTAATTTGTCACAAATAAAAAAACGTTCCAAATGCTACTGTATTTTTAAAAGTATAGAATATTGGGATTTGATCTTGGTAAAACTAAGAAGGCAAAGTCATGCAATCATATGTTTTTTTTTTTTTTAAATTATTCATTTGACAACATTCCATTGTCAAAGTATATATTTATAAATCCATTGTACATAGAAAATCAGAGATGGGAACCTGTTTTCCATGCAGTTAAATTTGACCAGCTAAATTACAGAAAATACAAAAATGGGTATGCCTATTTCAAATGATGTTACCTTCTTAATTTTACCATGGATTTGATGCTCGAAATAAATTATTTTAGATTGGAAAGTTCATTTCCATGAAAAAAACCAGTATGGAAAAGTCAAAAGTCGGGCGTTGCGGACCATATGATACCCTACACCACTATACGTATTTAGTACAGCTCCCGTAACATTTGAAGTAGATCATACTTATCAACATGTGGCTTTAGAAAAGTTATAATTTGGTTTCAGACGGAACTAATATATATGGGAGGCATATCCAACTCTAAACGTAAGGTCACATTAAGCAAATATTTGACGAAAAATGTCAAATATTTCTTTGTCACAATCCATGGCAGAAGAATACAGGTAGATGCATCAACGCTTGGGAGCATTGATATGTCAAAAAATTTTAAATGTTTTTTCAAATATTAGTAGATTTTTATATGTTTTCTTATACTACGTCATTCGGAGGCTATTATAATTGGCGTTTTTCAACAATTTTTACAAATTTAAATAATTTTTCGTTTAACATTTTCAATTCCAAAATTGGTTTGACAGTTCATTGTCCCAGCAGCTGTGTCGACGCGTCTACCTATATTCTTCTACCATGTCACAATCTGACCACCAAATATTATTTGACGGTAAATACAAAAACAGCTGATTTTGGGAAAACAAATTTATTTGCCAGAAAACAAAAATTTGACCAATGTGTCCATAATGTGAACACCTATGATCAATTATTTTCCTCTTTTTTGGTCAAACATTTATTTGACGGTGCAAATGTTTTGTAAGGTCAAACAAGGAAAAATATCAGTTTAAAACATTGGGCAGCATTTTGCTTTAAGAACAGGAGCATTTGTAACATGATGTTTAATGAATAGAAAAGCAAACAAATACAATAGGTGGTTTTGTTTATTTGATATTTTTGAATTAACTGAATTTGAATGTTTAGTAAAAATTTAATATATGGTCTGTTCCAGAACTGCAAGATGTAAAAGTTTTTACTACGATTACCGATTTTTCCTTTATTATATCGAAGAAAATTGACAAACTAGTAGATTCTTGCAGGTTCAGGAATAGGATATAGGTAGATGCATCAACGCTTGAAACATTGATATGTCAAACATTTTGAAATGTTTTGACAAAAATAAGAAGATTTTTCTATGTTTTCTTTTACGTAATAATATGTATTTTTCAACAATTTTTACAAATTTCAATAATATTTCATTCATTATTGTTTTGTCAGTTCATTGTCCCAGCAGCTATGTCGATGCGACTACCAGTATTCTTCTAAAGTGATACAAACATACAAAAATGCAAAAAAAAAATGTTCTGACAAGGAATTTATTCCACACCAGCTGGTCATTTGCTTCCCTTCTCCAAATAAATTATACCCGAAACTCCATTTTCTTTATGTCTCTCTTTCACTCTCTCTGTCTATTTCTCTCGGCCAAATAAATTTATGTTTCTTCACAGTTTGATCAAACAATTTATTGGGAAAATATATTTTACGAATGTGAACATGTGTCAAACATGTTTCCCCATAGCACTATTTGACGCTATTTGGTGACTGTTTGAACAAACAAAATCTGTCAAATATTTGACTGTAATGTGAACATCGAATCAACTCTGTATGAATTTCACATTTGTTCAGTCAAATATGGGAAAACAAATTTCGATCAAATATTTGCCCAGTGTGACCGTACCTTAAATCGATTTTCACTTAATTTGACGGAGACAATTTAATCTTTTATACCTAATAACATTGCTATAGAATGCATGATATGGCTTCGAGAATGATTATATAACAAAAAAATATATATCCGAGCTGAGTTACACCAAATTCACTCCATTTGTGCTGATATTAGCCATTATTTGCACAGTAAAACCGAAATCGGTTGAAGATTCAGAACCGATCTTTATACAATTTGGCAGAGGTATATCTGGGCTGTATCTGATACCTGATAACAAACATCATTGTTGTGGGGTGCATATTACAAATGTGGGGGACTAAATTATCAAATCGGATGAAACCTATTTATGGAACCTATAGCTGTATCTGAACCGATTTTCTCCGAATTTAATGTACTTGTTTCTAGACTGAATTCGGTGGGATGTACCGAAATTCAGGTCATTTGGACTTATATTGATTATTTGGTGCACAATTAACCCGAAATCGGTTGATGATATTTATGGGAGCTATATCCAAATCTGCACCGATCTTGACAAAATTGAATACACTTATTTCAGAGCTGTATCTGATACCTGGTACCAAAGGTCATTGTTGTGGAATGCCTATTACGCGTGTGAGGTACTTTAAACGCCAAATCGGATGAAACATATATATGAGAGCTCTAGCTACATCTGAACCGATTTTCACCGAACTTGATGTACTTGCTTCTAGACTAAATTCGGTGGGATGTACCAAAATTCAGGTCATTTTGACTTATATTGGCCATTTGGTGCACAATTAACCCGAAATAGATTGAAGATACATGGCAGCTATATCTAAATCTGATCCGATTATCACCAATTTCATTAGAGTTCGTCCTTGGTTCAAGCAAATATTGTTGGAAAAATTTCATCTCAATCGGATAATAAATGCTAACTTCATTTTGTTCACAAGAATACATGAACAGAGACGTTGCAATGGCCTGGAACCCAACACAGCTTAATTGAGGACTTTACTTTTTCCAGAGCATTTCTACAATCCAAAACTGCCTTTGATTTATGGTACATGAATTTAGTACTTTCAGGGCTGCTTACATATAATTAGATTAAATCTATTTATATCTGAAAGATTGTTTTTAAACCAAAGCCGTTTTTTAATCCACTCTGTATGTGCCGTCTAATAGCGTCTTTATGTTGAGTAACAGAATTGTATCCTATTCAAATGTAAACAAATACTCTGTTGAATTTCATGAAAATATAAACAATTGTGGCAATAGGTCTGTCTGTTTACATTACATTCGGGAGTATAAGCTCAGTCAACAAAAAAATTACACATGTAAACGGGTGAATTTCAAACCAAAAATTGAGAAATAATTTTCATTTTTTTGTAATTATTTATAATTAATTTAATTTATTTTAATAAAGCCATTTTTTCTATTTTCAAATTGTGAATATACTTTAAAGTTGTAAAGACTACAAAATTTCATTTAGTATGCCCCATGGTAGAAGAATGCAGGTAGTCGCATAGACACAGATGCTGGGACAATGAACTGTCAAACAAATTTTGAAATTGAAAATGTTGAATGAAAAATTATTCAAATTTGTAAATATTGTTGAGAACTATATCTACTTTTGTAAAAACTCTTCAATTTTTTCCAGTGGTAGGTATTTTTACCCTGATCCCGGAAACTATTTTTTTCTTGGGGGACGGGTCCGGGACCCCAGATTTTTGACCCGAAAGAGGAAAGTCAATATAGATATCGTTGAAAATACCTATCCAACAAGTGGTGACATAATTGGGTAAGTCAAAAAAGGGTCCTAAACAGTCAAAAAAGGGTCCATTATGGCGGGACAACAAAATTGATGCCAAATTATAGCTGACACTCTTACCTTTTCAAAATGCTACAATTTGTGCTAATACCTTTAATGAGTCCAGAGATATGGGCCTTTCCATCTGCATAAACTGATTCTAACCAGTTCATTAAAATTATGTTTTCTATAAAAAAGGGATTATTTTGCGTAGCCGTCGTTGTAATTACAAAAGTTTTCTATATTTGGCACTTTTTGTAAATAGCCGGCCTTTGGCCGGGACTTGACATTTTCTCCTCTGAGTATGTCCGACACCGGCTAACGCGAACAAAAGGTTTCTAAATTTGACACTTTTTGTAAATAGCCGGCCTTCGGCCGGGGCTTGAGATTTTCTCCTCTGGGTATGTCCCGAACACAAAAAAAATCTACTTATTTTTGAAAAAAAAAAAAATTAAAATATTGTACGTATCAGTGTTTCGAAGCGTTAATGTATCTGCCTGTATTCTTCGCCCTTTTTTACTGGGACTTTGAAAAGCCTGACAAACAACCATTAATATTTAATAAAAGTTATTTTTAAAAAATTAAACATACAGACCTATTGTTAAACAAAAATTTATTAATTAAAACAAACGGCTTAATTGCCAATACTAGAAGATTTCCCTTCCACATAGCAAAAATGGAACATGTTGAGGAGGCTTGCCGCGGCTGTTTAAAGAATTGTGTGAATGATTTGGTTAAAATATCAGACATAGCTGTATATTCCAAACCAAGGAAGAGATACATTGATGTACTGAAAGAGTTGGCGAAACTGAAGGTATAAACTGCGTACTTCAAAAAAAAGTTATTTTCATTTATTTCAACGTTTTCTTCCAATTAGACATTTGGTGATCTGGAATGTAACATACCACAAAACTTGTGCTCAGAATGCTGTAGACAAGTATATCAAATGTATTTGTTTGTGAAACAAATACAGCGCACCAATCAAGAACTATCCCATATGTTGGATCTGGTAGATACTGGTGGCGGTCTTGATGTTATGTTCGGGCCCAATAAAGTAAAAATGGATCTTGATCAGGAAATATGCTCTAGCGGTGTAGAAGAACATTTCTTAGAAATAGATGTAAAAGAGACCGCCTCAATAGAAGGGCAACTACCAGTTGAATGTGAGAATGGGATCGAGCAAATTGCGGTGCCTTATGTGGATATATTGAAATCGAACTACGATAATCATGACAACGATGAAAGTGTTATTGAGGAGGAAGAGGAAATATTAAATGAAAACCACTGTGATAATAAATATGAAACTAAGAAAAATACCGATCAACATCTTATTGAACTCCATCAAGATGAACTAATAAGGGAAACAGAGACATACAATTGTAATTCGTGTAATTATTCTGCCAGGACATTGGCGGGTTTGCATTTTCACAAACGTTCTAAGCATGGCAGTGAAACAGATAAATTCAAATGTAAATTTTGTACATATACCAGCATAAAGAAGTTTGATTTATTTTCTCATACAAAAAAATCACATCTTTCGATTATAAAAATTCTTCGAAAACAAAATGATCTGGAAACGAATGCAAAGTACGTATACATAAGTAAGGAGGGCTTTTTTTCTTGTTTATAGCGATTAAATAGTCATCCCTTCTTATAAATTTCAGTGAATCAAATCTTGACTCGGACGTTCCGTCAAACAAATGTATGGAAGACATAATTCAAAGTCTATCCGCAACTCAAAATCAAATCGAAATGAGCACTGAATTCTGCTCCACCGACGATGAACAGTTCATTAGAGACATTCTCTGCATTAAAAGGCGTTCTCGAAAATCACATAAAACTGATAAAACTATGTCAGCTAAAACCCATCCACATTGCCAGGAAATATATCACTCATCTCATGTTGATAATAATGAATTGCTGAACTTTTACGAATCACATACAGCAATCATTTCGATACCTTCGGAAGGAAATATTTCCCAAAACAAAGAGCAAATAAAACAATACACAAATGATGAAAACTCGACAAAACATCAAAGTAATCCCCATATGTTACCCACTAAAACCCAAAAAATGCTACAATGCCAACTCTGTGATTATACCACCAAAACATCTGCTGCATTACATTTTCATAAACGTTCCAAACATGGCACAGATGAGGACAAAATTAACTGTCATTTTTGTCCCTACATAGCCATTAGGAAATATGATTTGTTGCACCACATCATAAAGTGTCATTTGGCCATTGTTAAGTCGATCAAAAGGGAGATCTTGGAGAATACAAGTAGAGCTAAGTAAGTTAATTTAATAGCCTTGAGTATAAGTTTAAGATAAATAGAAGAAAAGAAATTAATTTATTTATAATTTTAGCCATTTGAAGGATACAACCACAGAACCCGACATGATCTCTGAAGATGTTATACAAAATTTAATACACAAACACAAAAATTCTGAGAGTAACGATAAAGCTATTACTGATGAAAGCTTGGAGGCATCTAGCGGCGATGAAACCACTATTCGACAAATCTTAAGAATGAAAAAAAGAGGAACCACTTCTGAGCTTACAAGTTCGCTGCCAAGGCGCTGTGAAGAATGCGGCAATATTTATAAGAATTCAAAGGCTTTACATACACACCGGCGTATGATGCATGTTGAACGTGACTATAGTCAGTGTCCTCATTGTGAGTGTAAATACAAAAGAGCCTACGATTTAAAACTACACATAAAAGCCAAGCATCTGGCAAAGAATTTAAAACCCAAAAACCGCGTTAGAAATGTGGTGCAGGATAAACGTTATATGTGCACCGAATGTTCCTATGTCTGTTCCACATTGACATGTTTAACAATTCACACATATCGTCATCATACCGGCGAAAAACCACATCAATGTGAATTTTGCCCAAAGGCATTTGTCGTAAAAGCTGATCTTAAGACGCATCGTTATATGCACACCGGTGAACGTCCATATAAGTGTCCAATTTGTGCTAAAGGTTTTCGTGATCGAAATCACATGGAAAGACATAGGCGAATACATCTTGATGTCAAGCCATATAGTTGCACTGAATGTGGAAAAGGTTTTACAAAAACATATAACCTAAAGGTACATCAACGAACGCACACAAAAGAACAGAGGCCAAGATGTCAGATTTGTAGTAAATATTTTAAGGATCAAGCGCAATTAAATGTTCATCAAATAAGTGAGGATCATCACGAAGAAGTTATATAACAGATTTAAATTGTACATAAAGTCACAAAGATATTAATAAAAAATGTAATGTGAAAATAAAAACAAAAAGGCGAATAAAGTAAAAATATTAAATAATAGAGTTCAAAATTTTAATTTTGTTAATTAACACTGTAGGTATTAATGGTACCCATCTCATTGTGAATGAGCCAGTAGAAGCCAATAGAAACAGTAAACTTTTTTTGGTTTAAAAAATAAATTCGGGGTTATTTTAATATCTGAAAAAAGCTTAAATTGTCAAATATTAAATTGTTTTCATTAGAAAAACCTCTCCAAAATAACCTACCACAATCCAATAAAGGATTTCGTAAAATAAGGAAATAGGATTTATTGCGCCACATCAAGAAGGGTAATTTGACATCTCCCTTCTAAGGTACTGGAGAAAGGGGAGTAATATGTTGTAAAGTTATATTGTTATCAATTCACTGAGAATTCAGTTTGCAAAATAAACAACTCTAAGACAATAAAGAATTGTTAATCAATGATATATGACTTGTTTTTAATTTTCGTAACTATTTACAGTTGAAGCGTACTTGTACACAATAGTCTGCCTTTTTTCTTTTTTTAATTGATCATTGACTATTACTGAACAAATTTCAAACCTTCAGTTACACAACTGTCAACATTGTTCTTTCAAGTTGCTCTCACTAGAATTTTGGGTAAAGAAACAGATTCCAGTGACAATTTGCAGAAATTATGGGGTAAACGTACAGTCCTAATTATGCTACCGTTAACATTATATTAATATTATATTTGACAACTATAAAGAACTTCGTTTGTATGTTATTAATTCACAGTGAATGTAAAGTTGACTAAATAAATACAAACAAAACAACAAGCCCCAAAAACCATGGAGGAAATTAAACTACGATGTCGTACTTGTTTAAAAAGCAATACTAAATTATGCTCACTATTCAAATTGATTCCCAAATCGAATCCTTCCCAGACATATGACCAGTTTTTAACAGAATATACACAACTCGAGGTAATAACATTAAGTAAGTCTCGCAAAGATGATACAAAATATCTTATTACAGCTCACTATGGAACAAAAAGCTAAAATGCCACAAGGACTTTGCATGATTTGTTGTGGTCAATTTCATCGCATGTACAAGTTTATTAACCAAATTAAAGAGTGCAATCACAAACTCATGGTCATGATAACTGATAATCAATTGGACTGTTTACAAGAAGATGTCATAGATATTCCAAGGGAAGATGCCGTAGAAAATATAGAACAATGTCGAGACACAATAAATACTAACAGAAATCAATGTGATAAAGGTGAAATCGACACAATAGATGAGCCTAACATATCGAAGGACCATGTTCGCACTATCCCAGAAGTAGCAATCTCAAATAATTATAAAACAACAGTTGGCCGGCTACAGTATGAAGAGCACACAGAAATTCTGAATTTAAACCAATATAAACGTAGTACTTATAAAGACAACGTAGAAGCAGATGTCAGTAATTCTCAGGCAGAATTAAATTTCCATGATTTGAACTCCGAGAAAATGTACGTTTTTATTGTAGTGTATTGTTATACAAATAAAATTTTTTCTTTCCTCTTAAAACAGGTGTGCCCGGTTTGACGGCAATTCTTTAAAATGTTTCAATTTGGATAAATCTCTGATAGACATATCTTGTCCACTCTGTGCAAAAGCATTCAAAAGACCCTACCTTCTAAAACATTTGCGCAAGCTACATGGTATAGATCAACCTAGCGCTTTTATGAGACAACACTTGGAAATCGCTACAAAAACCTCAAAGGATAGTTATAAACTTTTTGAGTGCCAGCAATGTGCTTATGTAGCCAAAAGCAAACCGGCCATTAACTACCACAATCGTACAAAACACCCTACCGAAGAGGATAAGTTCAAATGTAAATTTTGTTCCTTCGAATCACTGAAAAAATTGGATTTGGTAGAGCATATTAGGAATGAACATAGAATCGAATTTAAAGCTTTGAAACGGAATGTGAAACAGAGACAAGAAAATGGGTGAGTTTGTTGTGCATTTTTATAAAAACCCAACATTTTAAGAACATTTTTTTATAGTAAATTTTCAGCTTGTTCTGAATCAGAGGATGATGTTGCAAATCTAGAAATAGCACCCAATGAACAAAATTCTCCCTATTCAAGTGAAAATGATGATGAGTTCATAAAAGATATGATAAATATCGAAAGAAAGCATTTAAAGTCAAATGTAATAGATGGTAGACCCATCAGTACGTTGGCAAGAACATGTGATGATTGCGGTAACGTTTATAAAGATTTTCCCTCGCTGTATGCTCACAAACGTTTTGTACACATCAGCGAGGATATGTACAGTGCATGTGTGCATTGTGGCAGAAAATATAAACGTAGCAGAGATTTAAAAAATCATATATTACAAATACATCCCACTGAAACGCACATAGAAGTTATTAAAGATCATACTGCGAGATCAGAAGATACGGCTAAACGTTTTATGTGTTCGCAATGTAACTATGCATCAACAACTACAACACATTTGAAACTTCATATACGACGCCATCATACTGGTGAAAAGCCATATGTTTGTGAAATTTGTGGTAATTCATTTTTAACATCATATGATTTGAAAAAACATAGTTATTTGCATACGGGAGAAAAACCTTACAAGTGTCCAATATGCCCGAAATCGTTTCGTGTTAGTTCGAAGCTAATAAAACATAAACGGGTGCATACCGGCGAGAGACCTTTTAAGTGTAACGAATGCGGAAAAGGATTTACCCAGGAATACAATTTATCAGTACATAAACGTACCCATCTAAAACAGCAGAAGACAAATCAATGTCTTCCAACGTAATATGGAGATTTTAGTGTATTAAATTTAGATATATTTTTCTTGCAAAGAAATAAAAATAATTTTCGACTGGCTTAGATTATGAATCAGGTAAATCGATATGTAGAAGTTATGTAAATAAATGAAATCATGAATATTAAATCTGTATTTTAATAGAAAGTCCTATAATACACCCATGTAAAATATGTGTCGATCGGATCAAAATTAACCAGGATATATAAGTGTATATTAAGTAAAGGATATTTACTCTGTTGTTTAACATTTCGCTGCTAAGTGAAAGATATTAATGCGCTATCAACTTAATGTGAATGCTGGGAATGTATGGCATGGGTAGACAAAACCGATGTCAAACATGTTTTTAAGTCGGCATCAAATTACAGTCCATCACCATAAAGACAAAAGTGATGGATGTTAATAAACTTTACATCGAAATTATACATGTTTATGCATGTATGTTATCCTTACTGTAGAGATTTCTACTAATTAAAGTAGCAAATTATAGACAGATTGATTGATTGGTGGAACTAGTTTTTAAAATAACAAATTACAATTTTAAAGACGAAGTGAAAACAGTTTTTAAAAATTTTAAATTTATCAAGATTTTTTATTTTAATAATTTGATTATAAAGAAAATGTGAATAAGGTTTTAAAAAATTGGTAAGTTTTAAAGTTTTTTATTTAAATTATTTGTTTCTATATAACAGTCAGTACTTCACATATAGTATGTTTACCGGATTTTGCGGGAAAAAACTCTTTTATGGTGATTTATTTGACCTATTTGATTTGACATTTTAAATCCTAAGAGTTTACTAAATTCGGTAAACTGTCTCTGTTTTTTTGATAAATTCAGACATTCACCTCTGATTATAAACCCAGATCATCAGTATTATAATTCAATAGTATCTTAAGGATATTCTCCCTTATCCAATTATTCTGTATATCTTTTAGAAAAACATTAAATGTGATACACAGCCTTCTGTAACTTAACATTCCCCTGTTAATAATTACTCGACTATATGAAAGACATACCCAACAGGTAATTTGCAGTTGGTTATTAGAAATGAAGCTATAATTTGCATTATCATTCTTGTACATATAATCCACAAGTGCAAATTCCCTATTTTTTCTAATTTGCTACAGGTTTTTATTAAAAAACTTAATTCAAAGCGTAACAGTAACATTTGACTCTTTCTACTTAACCTGTAAATTAACATCTCTCTGTTATATGCATAGACTGGCATGCTATCAACGCAATGTGAATGCCCGAGCTAGATGACAATCTGCAATAAATAAAAAATTGTGTATTATCTGAGCTTGATGGAGACGGGAATAAAAATATTGGGCAAAAAATGAGCATAATAAATAGAAATAACAAATGTCGAACATGTTTGAAATCCGGCACCAAATTGCAGTCCATTAGCACAAAGCCGAAAATGATGAAAGTTGATAAAACCTACATGGAATTAATAAATCACATAGCACAAGTTGAGGTGAGTTGTTTGTTTGGCTGGCTGGCTAGCTAGGTAGGTGTATGTGCCAGCCAGCAGCCTGCATAGTTTCTTTGTAATACAAAATTTTATTTTTTTCCAGTTTGATACCGACGATGAACATAAAATGCCGCAAGGAATTTGTTCCATATGCAGCAAGAAGATACGTGACTCGTATACATTTATCAAGCAAGTGCGAAAATGCAATACAATATTCTTAAAGAGCACAATAAATATACCAGATGACAATCCTTTGGATAAATTGGAAGAAAGCTTTGCAACGGAAAATGTATTGCTGGACGAGTGCGATGACAAAAGTATTAAGGAAGAGGTTAATCCCTTTGATGACGAGGAAATGAATGCTCCCAAAAAGGAGGAGGTGGATTCAGATTCAAGTAGCTCCTTTTCGAATGACAATTTTGAGCCTATGCCACCAGATGGCCATGATGATGGTGATGATACCGATACACAGGAGGAATTTATTAAGATTAGCGATACAACTACAAAGGTAAATGTTGTCACGGCTGCCCCTGGACCGCTGCCTTCCTCCACAGTGCCGGATGATGATGTGGCCATCAAGACGGAGGAAAGTGAACAAAAGGATGAGCAAGCCGCAGAATTGTAAGTTGATTGTTTTTGGTTATCCAAGTTTATTTTTGATAAACATTTATTTATTCTAGATTTCCAGAATGTGTATTAAGTGAAAAAGTATTCTCCGATGATGATTCTCTTAGTGATTTGGACTCTGTTAAGGCTGAAGATGATCCAACATATGATCCTTTGGAGAGTAAGACAAGAAAACGAGCCCCTCGAAGCGAAACCCTCGATGAGGATAAAAACTTACCGGTACCATGTGAAGACTGCGATCGAGTTTTCCAAAATGCTAATCTCTTGAAAAGACACAAGAAAGACACACATTTACCGGATGAATTAAAGGTGCAATGTCCTCATTGTCCGGCCAAGTTTAGTAGACGTCACAACATGTACACACACATGAGAACGTTGCATAAAATCGAACCCGTAATAGAACAAAAAGCCAATCCGAAAAAGGAAAGGAACAGCGTTAAATGTGAGCACTGTCAAAAGAGTTATTGCAATAAGTATAAACTTATGGATCATATCAAACGTAAACATGGACCGGATAGTAATCAACCGAAAAAAGAGAAAATAAAACAACCAGCTAAACGTTTCCTATGTGCCCTGTGTGGTTTCACGTGTAACAGTCAGCCCAATTTGGATGTCCACTATCGTAGGCATACCGGTGAGCGGCCATTTAAATGTGATCATTGTGATCGTCGTTTTTATCGCATGTACGATGTGCAAATGCATAATTTGAGTCACACGGGTGAGAGACCCTTTAAATGTACCGTGTGTGAGAAGGCATTCCGGAGATCGGGTAAACTGAAAATTCACATGAGAACCCATACCAACGAAAGACCCTACAAGTGTACAGAATGTGAGAAGGCATTTAAACAATCGAAAGATTTGACGGTGCATAGACGTATTCACACCGGTGAAAGGCCTTATAAATGTAATGTATGTGAGAGTACATTTATCCAGAGTAATTCATTGCGATTACATCAAACAAAGACTAAACATTCAAACGATCCGGTAAATCCAATAAATAATAACAATTCGGCGCCAGCAACGACAAATACTCTAATGAATAATGCCATGAACAACAATAGCGTTAGCAGTAGTTTGTTAAATAACACAAGTTCAACAAATACTGGAAATTTGTCACATAACACAAATAATAATCCTGCACCTCCTCCACCCATGCCCAATACCTCGGCCATTATTCATCCCAATATTCCTACAACAAATAATGCAATAAACAACACCGGCAACATTACCCACAACACCAATAGTAATTCTGGAGACACAAAATATCCCGAAATGCTTATGAATAAAATGTTGTAAAATTTTGTCTAACAAACATACACACACAGACGACATACACATTAACATCGACATTTTATTTTATTTAATAAGATTTTTAATTTTTATTTTTAATGTTTTTAAACTTTTTTATTTAATTTGCTAAAAAATCTTTTGGCATTAGCAATGCAATTTTTATTTAGGCTCATAGTATATGTAAAATGTCATCCCATCATTTTTAATCTAATTTTTAATGACGGCAAATCATTTACTTTTAAATTAAGATCGAACACAAAAACAAAAAATTGTATTATTAGTTCGAAATATGAAAAATGCAACTCATCATAATATACACTCCAATATTTAATAAAAATTCCTTTTTTTAAATGCCACTTTTTACAAGTACTGGATGCTAAGTAAACATTTTGAAAAGTGGAAAAAAAGTATAGATGTAGATTTTTAAGGTAAAATAAAATACAATATAAAGTTTAAACAACAATATTTATTTTTTTCTCCCCGAAACTGCTTACAATTTAAGCAAACACTTGTACAAAACTGGCGATGTATTAGCCATTGATTAAATTTTTATTTAAATATCTATTTGGGTTCGATGTTTACAATTCAAAATAGGACTTTATTTTTTATTATTTATTTCGGAAAACTAAACCGAAGAACTTTCGTGATTTATTTCCTTCTCGATAACTCTTTGACATTATTTCCATAAAAGACCTTTACAGCCAACTCGACTCGACTGCAATTCTATTTTCGTTTTGGATGTTTGTATTTTTAAAAAATTGCCAAAAGAATGTGGGATGCTACCTTATGGAAACAACATAAAGTATTGTGTGCCTTACAAGTTGTTTTTTGTTATGTTTATGTTTTGATATGATCTATTTTTAAACAAGACAAGACAACACGAGGGCAAATCTGTTTTAAGTTTTTTTTTTATTTATTGGGCAGCAAATATTACAAGTTTATAAAAGAACACCCCATATACATCACGGGGGACCACCACCAAACCACTTGAAGAGCAAATAAATGAGTCAGTAAATGCGAATCTTCCCGAGCGGGTGTGTGTGCGTGTGGAAGAAGAGATAATTGTTTGTTTTTTTTCATTCCAAATAAAACATTGGCAGTTTTAAGAGATTCCATGAGGAATATGCCATCACAGTTTGTTAAGGTGTCATTTCTTGTTGTGTGTGCTCTCAATGCTGTGTGGCAGCAAAGTGTTACAATGATCAATGCCAGACCCATTAATATCAAACAAAATCCAACAAATTTAGGTGAAATACAACGTTTAATAATCCAAAAAAAGTTTGAGAATTTATATATTCTGCTGCATTTTTTTCTAGAAACTTCAAACGAAACATTTTCCGCTACTCAAAAACCAGTGACAATAGCCAACGATGATGGTGACGAGCCACCAAGTGAAATACAAAAAGCTGTGTGTACCGTAACGGCTGGCGATGTTAAAGCAAGTGCTGAAGCGGTAACAACAAAAGCCCTTAAAGGAGTTTGTGGGGCAAATGAAATGACAAAATCCTTTAAGGGGTTGGAAGAAAAAATCTTTAAAGAATTGGAATTGTTAGAAGGACGTTTGAAACAAGATTTGGAAAATATTCAAAATTTGCTTATAAGCAAACAAGATGGTTGTAATAGAACAGACGTAACGCCTAGCAAATCGATTGTATTATTGCAACCGATACCTTCGAGTAATACTGAGACGAAAACTGCAACCGCAACAACAACAACAACAGCATCTAAAATCAAAACAAAAAGTTATAGTTCTCCTTTATTCGCATCACAACACCACGCAATGCCAATGTATTCGCCAACATTGCCGCCAGAAAAAAATGGAAAAAGCTTTACCTACCTATGGAGAATTGAAAATTTTACCAAGAAAATTGAAAATAACAGTGATGTTACTATACAAACAAGTCCATCGTTTTCCATTAAGGGTAAATATATTACTAATTAACAAATGAAATATTAAAGGGTTAAATATCTAGGCGGTCCAGTGAGTTACTATGACAAAGTAAAGTAAAGAACAAAGAAAAAAGGAAAAAATAAGAAATAGGATTATAAGACATCTAAGAAGATATAAGCAGGATCTGTGCAGGGAGGTACTCAAAAAATAATTTCTAAACCATTTTCCATTTAAAATATACAAAAAGTGGCCATTTCAAAGAACCTACGTCCCCGGTCCTGTGAATGCCAGATGGAACCGCGGGAACGTGTTCTTGTATGGTTGTAGATCCAAGACAAACAAGTAGAAGAGATTACCAACGATTTTGTTGTTTCCAATTGAATGTTTCTAATAATTGAGTTATAAGAAGAGAGGTCTGGAGGGAATAAAACTCCTTTTTTCCTTATATTTATCCATTTAAGTTTGAAACGTACAAACTATACTAGATTCAAACTTTAATTTTTATTAATAAGTTATTGCATTTCTTAGTATTTCTAATTTAAAATTTAAGAATTCTATATAAATTTAAGGATTCTTTGTTATTTGTTTATAAATTGTATTCCTATTATAATACCCTTTTTTGCAGGCAAAAATCTAAAAGTAAAGGCTTCCTTTCAACATTTGCATCGTGATTTCCTTTATCTACAATTGATTGATGTTTCCGCTTCGCTACACTCGTCATCAGCTGGTAATAGTGTTATTTTGGATACCGGTGGTCTCTTTAAACAAATCACTAATGGCAATTTAAAATATAAAATGTCTATAGTTGCCCAGGTTTGTTACATTTTCCCCATTATTTACAAAAATAAATAAATATTTACTAAAATTTCATTTCAGAATTCGCAAAATGGCAAAGATCTAGTCTCGCAAGAATTTGATAGTCATGAAAGTGGATTTTTAATACCAAACAGTGCATTATTGGATAGTCCATTTATCAAAGATGATTCGTTACTAATAAAAGTTATACTTTATTTATAGAAAATTTTGAGACTTTTGGTGGCTAATTGGATAAAAGGCTGTACACATAACAAATCCATATACGTCAAATGAAAAACACTTATAGGATATTGATACTACAAGTTCACTCGATATAGTGGTGTAAACGTAATCCAAGGAAGAACACTTGAAGACAAATTGGGACAAGACGAAAACAATTATTATAGAATGCTTCTTATGTACTCATTTTTGAGGGTCTGAAATGAGTTTTGTTTTAGATATATCAATTGCTATGACATTCCACAATCAATAAAATGTATAACTCCGAATATGGTGCATATGTCACACACGTTTCACAAAGTACACATTTTTCTCAGTGTAATCAATGTAAAGTGGTTGAGGTTACCATTCACAGTGAATGAATTTATGGAATAAAATTTCAAAGTATGCAGAGGGTTATCCAATCTTTCTAAGGCTGTAAATAGTAGATTCATATTTTCTTTGGATATAAGATGGACATATGCATTTACTTTTATTCTCCATAAGAGAGCAAATATCGTTAGTTTAAAAATGAAATACAAATCGATGTAAAATGTGTGTTAATCAGTTACAGTGAATGTCTTAATGGAATAAAATATACAACTGGATAGCTATTTGTTGCGCAATTTTCAACATTGGGAAATTGGTGATCATTACATGTTCTTCATATGTACATTCTAAACAAATAGCCGACATTCACATTTGTTGAATTTTAATCTTTTTCTATCTAGAACAAGAAATCGAATAATGTAAGTCTGGACATGGTATAACCATCAATTAATCGATAAGCCAAAAGTCGATTTACTTATTCCTATAAGAAAAATAGGAGAGAGAAGAAAAACAATTTCCAACAATAAGAATATATTTAAAAAATATGAGCAAAACTAAAATAAACAACAAATGTCGCACTTGTTTAAAGTCAAATTCTAACTTAAAACTCCTGAGTACCAAACCGAAAACATCACACATCAACAAATCCTATAAGGAGTTAATAAAATTCATAGCCAATGTGGAGGTGGGATGAACATTTGTTTATGTTGTTACCAAGAGGTGCAATCTAATAATATCCTTTCTAGATTGAAGCAGATGAAGATGGCGAAGCAAATGGCAAAAAATCACAAGGCATATGCTGTAGCTGTTGCAAAAGGATACGTGAATCGTATGCCTTTATCCAGCAAGTTCGCAGGTGCAATAAATTGTTTCTCAAGGGTTCCCTAAATGCCACAAGACAAGAGAGAACTTCACAAGCGAAAAAGGAATTGGACGATGAGAAAATAAAAAAGGAAATCGATGAATTTGATGAGGGCACATGGAAAAGCTCAATAGCTGCACCCAAAGCTGAGGTACATCAAGATTCCTGTAGCCCCGTATCGGATTATAATTTTGATCCACCTGATGCAACGGATAGCGATACACAACAGTCCGAACATAAAGATGAATCGTGCAAAGATGCAGCCATCAAATCAGAATTCGAAAATACAAATGTCCCTGATGTGTTGTAAGTTCATTTTGTATTTTTCTTAAATCAAAAAATGCAATCATTCATTAGTTGGAAACACCCTGCCATTTTTTAATCTTTCATTGAATACTGAACTCTCCGAGAATTGATTCTTACTTCATATATTTTTGAATCCTTTCCTTAAGAAATAATAACGAACTACTTTTCCTTTTGCTATTTTTTAAGGCCACCGCTTTGTTTGCTAAATGAACCTGCCCTTGCCGAAGAGAAAATAATCTCCCCCAATGAAGATCCAAGCAACAATCCCGAAACAGACGATTCTGAAGAAGATCTAAGTACATTCGATCCATTGGATGACAATGAAATAAATAAAGATGGGGATGAAGATGAACAAGACAAGCCACCTGACGATGGAGAAGATGACGAGCAACCTATAGATGAAAAATTACTACCCGTACGATGTGATGAATGCGAAAAAATATTCCCCAATTCAATACAATTGAATCGTCATAAGAAAGATACCCATGTACCGGATGAATTGAAGATACAATGTCCCCATTGTCCGGTGAAATTTAGTCGTCGTTATAATATGTATGCCCATATGAGAGCATTTCATGAAGCCGAAACGGTACGAGAACATCAAATACAACCCCGGAAATTAACCAAAACCGATGTCTGTGATCAATGTAATCGAGCCTACAGTGACAAGTATAAACTAATGGCTCACATTAAAAACAAACATGGTCCGGACAGTAAACCGAAAAAAGAGAAAAAGCCTCCCAAGCAGTATTTATGCACGCTGTGTGGTTTAATTTGTAGCAGTCAATCGAATTTGGATATACATTATCGACGACATACAGGCGAAAAACCGTACAAATGTGACTTTTGCAGTCGTGCTTATGCACGACTCTATGACGTGCAGGTGCATCGCCGTGTCCATACGGGAGAGACACCATTCAAATGTACGATATGCGAAAAGGCATTCAAAAGATCGAATAAATTAAAAATACACATGCGTACGCACACCAATGAACGACCCTACAAGTGCACCCAATGCGAGAAGGCATTTAAGCAATCGAAAGATTTAAATATACACAAACGGACACACACCGGAGAAAGACCTTACAAATGTAATGTCTGCAATAGCACATTCACGCAAAGTAATTCTTTAAAACTACATCAGACTAAGACCAAGCATCTGGAAATGCTGAATAATCAAAAGAACCAGTTGACAAGTTATGATTATCCAGTAAATGAAGTTGGAACGACGACATAAGGAGGACAGAGTAAATTGCCCAGCTTGAAGCTGAAAAGAATGGCTAAAAAGCGTAATGATTAGATATGGGTATTTAAAACTACAAATGAAAAGATTCCATATAAAACTTAGCTAAGGAACAAGGAATCACTTATGTAAAAATGTCTCGATCGGCTGAAGATAGCACCCTGGAAATTTTGGAACCAGTTTTAACTATCCCGAGAAATACAAAACCTCCGGAAGAAATATGTTGTCTGGGTTTGATTTTTGTATGGCGTTCCATTCCCAATACAATAATAAAGGTTAATATTTATTAGTCCTTTATATAACCAACAATATTGGCAATAATATAATAATTTATATTTAGAATAAGATTTATTAAGATCTAATAAAATTATGATTGATCTTTTCATACACAAAGGCGTACATTTTAAATAGTGAGTTGTACTAAGTATTTTCGGTATTGCATCAAATTTCAAAAGCAACTCAAAAATACCAAAGTAGGCAATTCTTCAATACCAAAATCCAACATGAACTTTAAAATTCTGAAAAAAATATACATCCTTGGGGTGGTTTTAAACCCCTTGGTCGGCAGGCAGTCAGCAAAGTTAAGAGTGCATAAAGTACTTCGAAGAAGCTATGAGGACAATCCCATAAACTGGGAAAAATCTAAGCTGCTGCCGATGAGTCTATTAAATTTCCCAAATTATACAATAAAAGGTCAGACGAAACCTTGAACTCATTCTTACAAAACTTACTTCAAGAAGGCCAAAGTGGGTTTGAGGTTTGCTTTAGTGAGTCTGCAAAATAAGAAAATCCAAAACCAGAGAATTCATTTTGATTTTATAGACAAATATTGTGCCATAGCCCATCCCGAAAAAACGGATGGTGAAAGGTCGTGAAACAGCGATGTATTTTTTTTTAAAGTAAAGAAAATTAGTCAATTGAACTAACTGCCGACCGATTAGCCTATCTTCCATTCTGCTGAAGTCCTTGGAATGGTTACTAGACTTGGAAATTTATTATCGTTTAATATAATTTTATCAAAGAAAACTCGTTTAAAATTGTTTTTTTGGTGGTGGCTCTTTTATCGATAATATAGATAATCCTACTTACATTTAATTACATAATAAAATTTATATATATCAAATTAAAAAATTGGGGTCTAGAATTCTTGCTCACATATAACAAGAAGGTCTTCGTATTTGTAACGGACCATTTTTTAAATTCCACTATAAAAACATTAGCATTTGTGTTGTTAAATTCCATTAAAAACAAATACATACCAACTTTTCACATTCACTGTATAAAACAGCTGACTTCTGTTAACATATTCTCCCTGTTGTAAATAAACAACCCCACACCCCATTTATTTGCCCCATAAACAAACAGACTCGTTGTTTTTGTATCAAGTGTCAAATGCAAGTATCTGATATCTGACAGTTTGTTATAAAAAAAACGCAAAACAACAAAATACATTTGTTTGTTGTAAACAATATAAATATGCAAAAAATATGAATAAACAAAATAATAAAAACACCGACGACAAGTGTCGCACTTGCCTGAATAAGAATAAAACTTTATATGCATTACAAAAAATGGCCATTGAGGAGGAGTCGCCATCAAGGGAATTAAGCTATGGTGAACTCTTGAAGGAAGTTATAAATATAAGTGTAAGTAAAGGCAATACTTTATAATAGAAAGTTTAAATATTTATTTGTAACTCTAACTTCAATTGTCTTATTTTACAGATGGAGGATATCGAATGCACGGAAATGCCTCAATTTATCTGTGCCTGCTGTTCACGTAAACTCAAGTCATCCCACGCTTTCATAAGACAGGCCAAGGAGAGCCATGAAATTTTAATGTCCACGTTGAAAAAAGATGGCATGGATGAAACATCTACCCTGGATTGTCTACAGGAATCACAAATTGATATAGAAAAGTGTCTGGAAATAAAAATGGAAAGCGCTGACGACAACGAAGATGATGTGGTGAACAAGGAAATGGACAGTGTTCGATGCAACAAGACTGAAATAGACATTTGCCGAAATCCAGTTGATTCAGTCCCACCTAAAGATGAGGAAAATGTAAAAGTCCCCTCTGGCGAAATTGAAGATGAAATGTAAGAAATATCCAAGAATGAATTTTGGAAAAAGTTAGGCAATTGGATTTAGGCTGCCAATGTAGATGGGAAAAGGGCTAGATTCAAAATTCAGTAAGCATAAGTATTTGCAACAACTTATTTTTTTGTCACTTTCAGACCCATACCCAATGATGACATTGACTTTGATTCGGATTCATCGAAAATGAACGGAGCAGACTTTTCCGATAGTGACTGCAATAACGAAGACGACGAAGTAGATCCCAATTGGCTGGCAAAGACTGACACGACTTCCGCTAGTGATAACCTCACGGGGAAAAAGAAAAGAACATCAAAAATAAGAGAATCATTGGAAGAAGCCATTGCAGTGCCATGTACCCAGTGCAAAAAAATATTTACAAATGCCAAAGTATTGGCCAGACATCTAAGGAATACTCATGTACCCGAAGAACAGAAGTGTTCATGTCCCTTGTGTGGTATAAAATTTACACGTTCATGTAATATGTTCAAACATATGCGTACCCAACATGATCCGGATACAGTGAAAAATCTCCTACCGGCCAGTGAAAAAATGCATCAATGTGATAAATGTCCACAGAAATATGCCAAAAAGAAACATCTGAATAATCACATCAAGGCAAAACATAGTAATGACCAGGAGGCGGGCGAAAATTCTGATGAGGCAGATAATAAAAACAACAAAGCGGAAGATCGTTCATTGTGTTCCATATGTGGTTGTTCGTTTTCCAAAAAAGCATATCTTATTGTTCACATGAGAAAACATACGGGAGAACGACCGTTCCAGTGTGATTTATGTGAGCGGGCATTTGCCCACAACTCTGAATTGAAATGTCATCGACGCATCCATACCGGTGAGAAACCATACAAATGTAAGCTGTGCGAGAAGGCCTTTAGGGTGTATAAAAAACTTGCCACCCATATGCGTTCTCATACCGACGAACGACCCTATAAATGTAATCAATGTGAGAGAAGTTTTAAATATTCAAAAGATCTAAATATTCACAATCGAATACATACCGGCGAAAGACCGTATTGTTGTCCAGTGTGTGGCAGTACTTTCACACAAAGTAATTCTCTGAAAGCTCATCGCATGAAATTGGGTCACATGGATGATAATGTAGCAACAACAGCGCCAAGTGCCGGTGCATCGTCATCCGTAACAAGTACATCAGCACCAGCGTCATCATCAGTCCCATCATCAATAAATCATTTACTATCATAGGATATATAAACTTATATGCATGTATTGTGTAGATATGTAGTTTAAGTGTAGTTTTATTACTATTAAGAAGAAAGGTAAATTTCCCGTATTATGCATTTAAAAAATAAAACTTCAAAAAACTGATTTTTTATAAATACAATTTTAGTCATCTTCTTTTATTTTATCTTTTATTTTACCTTTCACTACACTGTGGTATAGATTAAGGATCTAGAATTACCTCTTAAGTCGACATTATGCATGTCCTCATTTCTACCTAAAAATCTTTACCCGTTTTCAAATTTATTTTACACTAAGTGTGTACTATCAGCTCAAAAGACAGAACTCAGTCCAGAAGCAAATCTGACGAATTTGGTGGAATCGTTCAGACTTAGCTGTAGTTCTGATATTCGGTACAGGTATCAGATATAGCCTCGCAATATTTATTTATTATATAATTTATAAATAAATTTACAAAGTATAGTTTCAAGGTGCCGGATAAATAGATCACTTGGATAGCCTGGAAATATATTTGCCAATTGTTGTCGAGATCGGCTCAGATTTAGATATAGCTTCCATATAGATTTTCACCATAATAATTTCAGTCAATAAGTTTGAATTTCACAACATACGATCAAGTTCTTAATGGAACAAAGTTGGTTAGTTTGTACAAAACGATTCTGACATAGTTATAGCTCCCATAAATCCAGGGTGAAATGAAAAACTGCAACCAACTTCAGACTGCTGTCATTTCTAAGCCACTCGTCCGACAACTGTTAAAATTATTCCAGTGACAGCTCATTATACTGTTTATAAGCGTACAAAAGCATTTTGGTAAGAAAAAAAGTTATTCGTGATAGAATTCAAGCGTAATAGTGAGAGAAAATCACAAGTGGCTATCGTTAGAGCACTCCAGCATTTAAATGTGAATAAATCTTTTGTGTCTCGTACCATTGCTCGTAACGTAGCCCGACGTCAAGGAAGTGGACGGAAGAAAACAGCAACATCAGTAGAAATGGTTCGAAAAGTAAAGAAGCGACTTTATCGAAACCCGTGTCGCAGTGGCCGAAAAATGGCTCTTGAGCTGAACAAATCGCAATATTCCATTCGGCAAATATTAAAAAATGAGCTCGGGGTAAAGCCATTGAAATTCCAAAAAGTGCAAGAACTGACACCGCAACAGAAAGAAAATAGACTCGGACTCAAAAGAGCTAAAGAGTTGCTTCGCTTGGCCGAAAGTGTTGAACTGCCGAATTGGTTTTCTCCGATGAGGAAACATTCATTGTCCAGCAGTCCAGTCCAGTCCAGCAAACAAAATGATCGTGTTTACTTGCCAAAGAGGTCAGCTGAAAATGTACAACTTCGGTTGGCCACCAGAACTCAAGCGCCGGCCGTGGTGATTGTGTGAGCCGCCATAACACCCGATGGTCGCTCTCAGCTCGTATTAATCGACAGTGGCATCAGAATAAAGGCCGAATATTAGCGCGAAAATATTCTGGAAGGTGTATTAAAGCCTTGGGCACGCAAACATTTTGGTCGCAGACCTTGAATATTCTAACAGAACTCAGCACCATCGCACTCAACACGCGCCACCTAAGAATGGTTACAAAATTCTTCGCTTCATTTCCAGCGCAGAATGGCCACCAAAATCTCCGGATACCAATCCGATGGACTATTGTGTGTGGAGTATTTTGGAAAGCAAGGTTGGCACTAAAAAATACCAGTGTCGATCACCTCAAGCAAGCGCTTCGCCGTGAATAGCCAAAATACCGCAGAGCAACATTCAGACAGGGTGGGACGGCCATTATTCGTGCCAAATGCGACCAATTCGAACAAATCTAAACTTATTCTAAAATTTTATGCTATTTCCGACAAAATTATTTGCATTTATTCAATAAAATTAAAAAAAGAAAAAAATTATGGCGTTGTTGCAGTTTTTTATCTCACCCTGTATTTTTATACAAGACAAGTCAGACATGTAGGAAAATATTAATTGGTCGTATATAGGCCAGTAAGACCCACTAAAAACATCTTAGTTTATTTATTTTCTTATTGGAATCCAATTGTTCTACTGATAAAGGACAAGTAGTCCTCCTTATCAAAAAACACTGTGTATTTTTATAAAAGGCCAATAGATCGTGGCGTAGGATGTTAATACGTCCCTTTCCACAATACCATCTTACATCCTTAAGAATTTCAACTTCAAGACCTATCCTACCCTTTGTTTAAGTCTCCCCCTTTTAACAGGTTTTGTTATGGATGAGAAGTAGACAACAACAAAACATATGTTATTGCTAAATGTAAAGAAGAAGCATTTCAAAAGAAAACAAGATTATACCAACAAAAAGCAAGTTTCGCTGCCAAAAGGAAATAACGTTTAAATAGTTTACTTCTAATTTAAATAATTTAATAAGGTATTGGATATTGAAATGAATAGAAATAAATGTCGAACATGCCTTTGCCTGGCAGATGATTTAGAATCCCTTGAAGAAATTGTTGTTATTGACCAATCCCTGTCGCTATCATATGCCCAACTATTGAAGGATGTAACAAGTATTAATGTAAGCATGATTGATGTCCATAAACTACAGCTTTAAATGAATATTGTGTCTCCTTAGGTGTTGGCCGATGCAGATTCAGCCATAATGCCAAAATCTATTTGCCAATCTTGCTCGGAGAAACTCAAACAATCCCATGGATTTATAAAACAAGCCTGGTCGGCCAATGAACAATTACAGAGCTTACTAAAGAGCTCTGAAACATTAGATTGCTTACAAGAGTCTGAAATTGATATAAATAGCTGTTTGGAAATAAAACTAGAAAATAATGAAGACCTGGTGAACGACAAGAAGGTAACGCCCGGAAAAGATGATAAAGGGTGCAATTTGGCAGATAATTTAAATACCATTGAGGACAGCAATAGAGATGAGTAAGTGGCACATAAAATCTTCTTATATTAAGTTTTTAATAACAATAATAATTTGGTTTCCAGCTCAATCTTCAGCCCAGAGATGGAGGATAGTTTAGCAAAAACCGAATCTGATATTTCGGAAAATACGAATGCTAATGAGGAGCTGTTAACATCTGATGCCATTAAGGAAAAATCGAAACCAAAATCAAATACAAAAAATAAAAAACCCTCCACCAAGAGATTAGAAAGCAAAGATATCAAGGATGAAGACATTGCAGTGCCATGTTTACAGTGCAATAAGATTTTTAATAATTCCAAAGAATTGACAAGACATCTGCGCAACACCCACCTGCCGGAGGATCAAAAATGTGCTTGTCCCTTGTGTGGCATAAAGTTTACACGTTCCTGTAACATGTACAAACACATGCGTAAGCTACACGATCCAGAATCGGTCAAGTCTTTGTTGCCCACTAAAGAGAAACCCTTTGAATGTGATAAATGTCATCGTCGATATACACAACAGCGTCAATTGAACTTCCACATTAAAGAGAAACATTCAAATGACCCAGATAATACCCAGGACTCCAACTCGAGCAATTGCAATGATAAGAAGAAAAAGCCGGATGTACGACCCCTGTGTTTTGTATGTGGCAGCTCATTTTCTAATAAAGCCCATCTAATTGTCCACATGGCAAGACACACGGGTGAAAAACCCTTCAAATGTGATCTTTGTGATAGAGCCTTTCCTCGTACATCCGATTTGACGTCACATCGTCGCATACATACGGGTGAAAAACCATTTAAGTGCAAATTGTGTGAAAAGGCTTTTCGTGTCTCAACAAAATTAGCAACACACATGCGTTCCCATACCAATGAACGACCCTTTAAATGTAAACAATGCGAAAGAAGTTTTAAATATTCCAAAGATTTGAATATACACAAACGGGTGCATACCGGAGAACGACCTTATTGTTGTACTGTCTGCGGCAGTACATTTACACAGAGTAATTCGTTAAAAGCCCATCGTATGAAATTGGGTCACATGGGGGTGCAGGAGGAGCCAACGTCACAAATAATGCATTTTATTAGTTGAATAAAATAGATTTTAAAATCAAACGAAACAGTGCATTTTATGACTTTGAAAAAGCTTAAATATAAAATCATATCAAAAATATACTTGGGGGCATAGCTATATCTGAATCGAAATGGTCCAAATTTCCCAGACTTTACTATAGTCAAAACTTGATCGTATATTAGATAATTATATGTAAATGATTCACCAACAAATGTGAATCATTTACATATAATTAAATAACTTGTATAAGAAGACCCGGTGCTGGTCTTCAGTAAGAGACTTTCTGGTCTTTTATATGAAGACCTTCTAGGCTTCTATATGAAGAACTTCTGGTCTATATAAATAAGATCATTCTTGTCTATCTGAAGATTTCCTGGTCTTCAATAAGAAAATATTAGGGTCTTCTATAAGAACAACTTTGGGGTTTCTATTACAAGAAATAATGATCTTCTATAAGAAGACCCTCTCGTTTTCTATATGAAGATTTTCTGGACTTCTATAAGACCTTCTGGTCTTCTATAGGAAGTCCTTCAAATTGACCAGTATCATATAACAAACATGAAAGAACTTCTCGTCGTGAAAAACATATTCCGCTAAAATTAAGAACCATTGATGAGTTAGATGTAGTGGAAATATCTTTGCTTGTGGCATGTAATTTGAATGGAGTTTTGGCAATTCGGAATGGCTGAATGAGACTGAATGCAGGGTCTGAAAGACAGGGGTTCTATTGATATCGCAGACGACTTTCAGTTAAAATGATTCTACAAAACACCATGCGACAGCTCTTACAGCTTCTTTGCAAAGTAAAGATCCTACACTCAGTTATGCAAATGATCGTTGACTGTTGGTCGGTTGTCTTGTAGCGTAGGAGATCGTTGGCTCAGTAAACGCCTTCCTGTTTATACATTTTCCTTAGAGCTATAGATTAAAGGATCGTAATCGACCATGCTCCAGACGTTTCGTTATTTTCTTATAACAACCGAAAATACTTTTTGGATCAATCCTATTTATAAGGTCGGCCGGGGGAAGTGATGTGTTCCGACGTCAAGAAATATCTTAACTATGGGTGATTCTTCTCGACTCTACGTATTTCCCTTAAGACCATCGGTTTCATTATCTTATCCGCTATGTTTGAGGATACCACATCGGTTAATTTGATGATTTCATATTCATATAATATTGCTGAACACTTTCCCTTCAAGATTAGTATTGGTAATGGCACCGGTTGTCTGCACTAGACTATGAATGAAAAACTATTCAAATTAGTTAAAATTATTTAAAAATACTTCTTTTTTATTTGATTTTTTTTCCAGAGGTATTTATTTTTACCCTGATTCCGGGAAACTATTTTTTTGTTTTTTTTTTTTTTATTTTTGGGACGGAGCCGGGACTTCAGATTTTTGCCCCGAACGTCCGAGTTCAAGACTCCGGCTAGACAGGCATCGATTTACCTATCCAACAGGTGGTCACATAATGGTTATTAAAAGCGGTTCGTAAGTTATAGTCAAATTATCAATTTTTTATACCCGTATTTTTTTTTACAACCCCCAAAAGATCGAAAAATTGGCCCATGATGTGGGTCGACTAAATTGATGCCAAATTATAGACGACACTCTTTCCATAATGCTGCAATTCACGGGTCCAGAGATATTACTAGTATAACTAAAACTTGTTTTTTATTAAAAATCCCCACCCCAAAAAGTTTCAAAAAAAAAAAAAAAACGAAGAGTTTTTACTAAAATTGAGTTGTTTCAAAACACATATTATAACCACATCGCGTTGTGTAAGAAAACAGTTAAAAAATAAACATATTATGCACAAATTTTATAATTTTCGTTTTTGACACATCAGTGCTCTCAAGCGCTCATACATCCACCCATGGTACAATGATATCAAGGTAGGGCAGAACTACCATATGATTTTAATTTGTTTATTTTCTTGGCTTAATATGTCATCTTTATTAGTTTATGTATGTGTTTTCTTTTCAATAACAAAAAATTGTTCAGAAAACATTCAAATTCGGTTGTTTTCAAAATGTTTATTTCAACGTATGCATCGACAAAATCTAGAGTTTTTGTAGGGAAATAATCCTTTAGAGATATATAGTACATGAATTTGAAAAGAAGTGTTGACCTTTCATACAATTATCGCGGTTTTCAATGATTTATTCAAAATAAATGCAACAAGTTGTTTGATTTTTTATTGTTTTGATACTAATTCTGACATTACAAGCCAAACAGGTAGACCTCTATACTTGCAATTTTTTCAAAGTTGACCTACCTTCTCTTCATTGTACCATGCATCCACCTGTATTCGGCTTAAGTTGACTTTAGGGGCTATGCTCGGGTTGACTTAAAATTTTTACCACGTGTAGATCTTTTTAAACTGATTACAGCAAATTATTATTATATATTATTTGAAAGCTTATGGAAATACCTTTCTAACAAGTGGTCATATGACAGGTTGGTTTTAATCGGTTCTTGAGTAATATAAAAAAAATGGAATTTTTGTATCGGAACTTTTTGAAAACCACATAAAAAGTCGAAAATGGGCCCATTATGGGATATTATATCAGGTTAAAAATACCCACCTGCGTTAAAAATTTGAAACTTGATCCGAGCAGGACCCCGAAACTCAACATGCTCCCTTTTTCGATTTGTAGATCCCTATTTAACGAAATTTCCTTCAATTGTTTTGCTAAACAAAATAATTTGCTCCTTTCGACCTCTTTCCGGAATACACAGTTTTCTTAAAATCGAAACTATATAATAAATATAATATAGGATGGCAGTGGCAATATCGGAAGAGAATTTGTATCAAAGATGTCGAGCTTGTTTCAATCAAACAGAAGGTTTACAGCCACTATGCAAAAAGATTCATTATGTTTATGGTGGAGAGAAAATTCACACGACATACTGTGACCTATTGCAGGAACTATTAAATATAGATGTAAGGATCAACAAATTGTAAATAATCCTAATTATTGCACAAATCTCTGAATTTTTAGATAAAATCTGATAATGAAACTACTATAAGCCAATTTATTTGTTCCCAATGCATACGAAAGTTGATGTCTTCACATTCCTTTATAAAACAAGTACAAGCAATTAATGGGAAATATTTACAATTCATAAAGGATATCATGTACAAGCAGTCTGAGGACAAAACTGAAGGTGAAATAAAAATGGAAAATGAGGAAGATGATGTAGAAGGTGAACTGTATGATTATAGCAATTTGGAATCCATTATGGAAGTATCGTTAAAAATAGAACCAATTGAAAATCCATTGAGTGTTGTATCAAAGGAATGTGATAGTGAGTCCGAGTATCAGGATTATGAGGCCAACATAATGTAAATTTAATTTCAAAAGTTTAAAACAATTTCTCACCATACTTCTATTTTACAGCCCTTCTATTATAAGTACTGAAGATGGAGAAAAGTCCAAGAACTATCCATATGATTGTGCTGATGTCGCAGTAGCATGTCCACAATGCAAAAAAGTTTTTAAAAACACTAAAGATTTAAACTTCCACCTGGGAAATGCACATGTCCCGGAAGATAAAAAATCAGTCTGTCCCATTTGTGGTAGTAAATTTTCACGTTCTTATAGTATGTACTATCATATGCGTACCCAACATAGTTCAGAGACAGTGAGCGGATTTTTACCATCTAGAGACAGACGTTTTCAATGTCAACGATGTCCCCGCAAATATTCCAAGCAGAAATATTTAAATTGGCACATTGCAGCAAAGCATAGGGGCAGTGAAAATGAATCCCTCAAACAGAAAATAAGCCAAGAAACGCAAGCTACCAAAGATGAGAGCACAAATACTGCCACCACATCAACAACTCGCCTCCTTTGCTGCATTTGTGCCAGTTCATTTGTAAACAAAACCCAACTGACCATACACATGCGGAGACACACCGGTGATATGCCGTTTAAATGTAATATGTGCGACAAAGCATTCCCACGCAGAGCTGAATTGACATATCATCAACGTTTGCACACGGGCGAAAAGCCATATAAATGTAAACTATGCGAAAAAACTTTTCGGGTATCGACTAAATTGAAGGATCATATGCGATCGCATACCAATGAACGACCGTATAAGTGTAAAGAATGTGAAAAAAGTTTTAAATATTCAAAGGATTTGAATATTCACAGACGCAGACATACTGGGGAACGACCATATTGTTGTAACGTTTGTGGTAGCACTTTTACACAAAGTAATTCACTGAAAACTCATCGTGTGAAATTTGGTCATGTGGCGGAGGCAATGCCGCAAACATGAAAGTCATCTCAAATATCCTGTCCCGGAGGAGAAATAAATGAAGAGGATAAATAATGTTGGTATATTTAAAAGGAAAACAGCAAGAGACACATGGCCACAATTATTTTTACAGGTGTTTCCAATAGGATCTTTAAACGAATAATGGATCTGTAGTTAGTGTACTTCAAGTACATATTCGTACTTGAACCAATTACAACTATATGAGATTGATGGGCCAGAAAATTTTTCTATGTCAAAGCGTAAGCTATTTCTTGTGGTCTATGTCAGATCTTTTTCATGTCTCTTGCATCAATCCATTGAAGCGAGTAGAGAGGCAGGCTGACTCTCCTTGAAATGTTTTCGGTGCATTACATTTAGGCATAAAAAATGTACATTCGGAATCTGAAATATACTTATAATAAATACAGAAATAAAAATTCCAATTGGATTACTCAATGCCTTTATTCGAAAATGAATGCAGCAAAAGTTTTAGAATTATTTTCGTCCCTGAGAAAGGACTACCAGCTTGCTGTCCAAAAAATAACACCTTTGCAAAAATTGCAACTACAATAAGGAAAGTCATTAATTGGTAGATACTGCCAGAACGAATACTTTTTACATCTCATGATCTGCAATCCGTTGCAATTATAATATAATTTGCTGGGTGTATCTACATCTAAATCGATTTCAATTGAAGTTAGATGACTTTGTTGTTGAGGTAGAGACTTGGAAGAATAACATGGCAGAGCGATAAAAGTGTTATCTTGATTGAAAAGAATGGTCGTGTATGGGGCAAACTTTTATGAGCTACATCTGAGCCAATTTGCACAAAAATCTAGCAACAATTCGCAGATTTTTAATTTTTTTTTTATTTGGAGTACTTTATTTTTCTAGGGTAAGATAGTTCTTTTTTAAATAGTAATGATTTACAAATGGGTCTTACGCCTAAAATTACATGTAAAATAAAATACTGAAAAGTAACGGCAGTGGGTTCACAAAATATTACCTAGTTTAATGCTGACACTCTAACGTTTCCAAAAAGATTATGCGTGTATTATCTTTCTTGAACTCAGTGACAAGAGTCTATCAGTCTTAGAACCCGAACAAATTAAAACCAGTTAAGAAAGGTCAAAAGTCGGGACCCGACTATATATAATACCTTACACCACTATGCATATTAAGTAGAACTTACAAATAAACATTTATATTGGGAATTTATGTGAAGAATTATTGCTTTACATGCAAACATGGGCTGATATTTAATATTTGGTGGACAATAACCGTGAAATCGGATTGAGATAAATATCCAATTCTGTACAGATCTCCATAGAATTTGGCAGAGGCATTTCTAAGCTGTGTCTTTTATTTAGTGTCAAATGTCAGATTTCGTGAGGGATTTTAATCGGATGCAACATATATGTGGAGTTATACCCATATATTAACCGATTTTCTGAATTCGGTAGTATATGCCAAAATCCACTCGATTCGCGCTGATATTAACCATTTGGAGCACAATAAACCTGAAATCGGAAAAAGATATATAATGGAGCTATATCCAATTCTTAACCGGTATTAATGAAATTTGAGAGATGTAGTTATATTCGAACCGATTTCCGAAATACTTTGGCCAAACAAATGAAAATACATGAGCTGATGGACGGACATGAATAAAACAACTCAGAATGTGATTCTATGAAGATCATGAACATGAACTATGGGTCTATTTCGTTTCCTTTTGCATGTTACGAAGGCTTAGCTCTAGTTTAGTAAAAACTCGCGTATATTTTTGAGTTTTTTTCCTGAGGTAGGTATTTTCACCCTTTTCCCGGAAAGTATTTCTTGGGGGACGTACCCGGATACTCGTATATTTGACCCAAAAGTCCTGGACCAAGGCCCGGATTTCCTGATTCAAGAAAGATAACAACACCTAGTGTAGCATTTTGTAAAGGTTAAATATTATGCAACTTCGAAACGGTTTAAATATCCCCCTCTTATTTGAAAGGTATTTTCATTAGCTTTAGAATGATACATGTATTGTCAATATCGATTTACCAGGTCTTGGTCTAACCCGGGTCTTTGTGCCGGACTTTTGGGTCAAATATCCGGGTCCGTTCTCAAAGAAAAAATGCTTTCCTGAAATCAGGGTAAAAATATCTACCTGTGGAAAAATTTAAAAGAACCGGAAGGTTTTTAATAGTTCCCACTACAAATCCACCAAAGTATAAAAACGAAATATGGTCCGCATAATCATTTTTGGACATAAATATTGAGGGGGAAAATCACAAGACATTTAAAAAAGTTTGTAAAATTAATAAACATTACAAAAACTTACCAACATTTACCAGAAGAAAAAAAGAGAATCAAACCGATTGACTTGGTTGAGCATTATTTCACAGAAGTTATAGCAATTTCCAACACATTGGATTGATTCGTCAGGATACAATCTTTCTCAGCTGTGGATAAATACATTATAACTCTTTCAATTTTTTTTTATTAAATAATAATAAAATTGCCTTTAGTCAATTTTTGAACGGTATTTCAAAGCTGTTAGTAGAGATGCCAGCTTTCAACTGATAATCACAATGTTGCCAGATTCATTGTTTAACCTATATTATAATTAGGTCTGTTCGTTTACTTTTCCATGCAGAAAATAAAGATTGGATATGTTTATACCGACCTACACAATCGCAATTATTTCATTCATTCATTTCATTTATTTCATACAATTCAATATAAATAAGACAACATGGCCAAAATCTTATATTAACATACAACAGCATAAAAACAGCCTATAACTAAATTAATCTAAAAAAAAACTAAATAAATAACAAAAATTATCAACGAATAGTAAAATATATACAAAAATAATAATAATAATAATTTAAATTTAGTAGCAATTTAGTAATTAGACCCTCAGACACAACTCCTCTACCAAGCTGAACAACAGTTTAGCAAGGTAGAGAAGAAAAAGGCAAGAGGCATCAATACACTTAAGCGCTAATCATCACTTGTTTCCAACCGAGCGAATGTAGCTACTACATTGATATTATTATTGATATTATTGATATATTGACGCTTATTTTTATACATTTTACGTAAAGTAAATCGTGATAAATAACGTTTCTGTTATAATGGCCAAACTTGTAAGCTGGGGTCAACAAAAGACAAATTGATTGAATTTATTCCATTGTAAAATTAAGAAGGTAAAGTCATTTCAAATAAGCATGACCATCTCCGCATTTGCCGGTAAATTAATGAAGAAAATAAAGCAGTCGCTAAGACCTTCCTATAAAAGTAATTTTATTTTTACATTTAAAGTTTGCAGTTCGAGCTGCCAATTTTGTAGTAGCATCGACACAGCTGCTGAGACAATGAACTGTCAAACCAAATATTGAATGAAAAATTATTTAAATTTGTAAACATTGTTGAAAACGCCAATTATAACAACCCCCGAATGACGTCGTATAAGAAAACATATAAAAATCTAAAAAACAAAGCAAATACATAGAAGCCTAAAGATAGGACAAGACAGAGCCAAAATATGGCAAACCTGTCAAAATATTTCTTTTGTTACATGGTACAATAAGGAGATAGAACAGCTTCGTTAAACTACAGAAATACAACACTGAGGCTATGCCCGATTCCTGTCAGACTTATTCAAAATTATATGCAACAAATTGTTTTTATTTATTTTCATACTTTTCCTCATTTTTAAAATGAGTTATATAGCGCGACAAACGAATGAAATGGCTGGACCCGCGCTCAAAAATATGATCCAAACTGTTCAATCTTTCAATTTTCTGACTAATCTGGTTAATAGCTTTAATGAACGAGCCGCAATCTACGTGTCTTTTAATCATTGGCTTTGAAAATATTTGGTTTTCATTTTTCAAAACAATAAATAAATACACAAAATTGGCAGAAGTCGGGCACACTTAGAAAAAAAATGTAATCAGCTGGTAACTCTACCTTACCTGACCTCTTTGGCAAGTAAACACGATCATTTTGTTTGCTTACAAACTGCTGGACAACGAATGTTTTTTCATCGGAGAATGTATTTTCGAAACAAAACACACATCTAAATTGTCCTTTTTTAATGCACATAAACATTGATATTTATTTAAATTATATTAAAAATATTTATGTCGTGTATTTTTAAATATTTTGTTTTTGTTTGCGTGTTTACATATAAGTAAGTATTATATATAACATCTAATTTAGTTTACAAATAAATCTATAAATTTTGTTTATTTTAATATTAGGCATATATTTTATATAAATTAATTTAAAGAAAAACAAAACAACTACACCTTACACATTAATAGTTCTCGGTTGAGGGATAATAGCTCAACATAGATTTGGTATGTTTAAATTGTATATTTTCTGTGGCTGCCAGAACTTCGTCAATAAAACTTTTCGAATTGTGTATATATGTACCGCCGAGTATGACCCGGTAACCGGCATTGTTGAGTTGGTGTACAGCTAAAGCTTCTTCATATGTGGTACCACCAATCATAAAGACTACAACTTCCTGGGGTGGTCTACGGAATGGTACCAATTCGGAGTTGATTGTTGGATACATTGGATCCAAATCGCGGCCCTTGAAAACATCTTCCAATGTTTCCTTTAGCAATGGAGTGTGCTGGGTAAAAACGTTTTCAACTCCCTTCAAACCTTTTATAAGATTTCTGGTTAGTTTCACAGCATCGGTTATGCGTACCAAATTAAAGAGTTCACCCTGACGCATATGGGTGCCGGCATATTCTATGAGACTGGGTATAACATGGGTCTGGCCTCCGCGTGTTTTGATCATTTTCAATAGCCCCGAAGTATCGCAATTGGCATGGCGTTCATAACGCAATGCATACAAAGCCACCAATTTGACAACATCATCCAGGGAAGTACGTTCATCGGAAATGATTTTCTTAATACGTTGCAGTTGTTGGGAATGTTCGGCCTTGCAGGCAATTTCCTGCTCCAATTCGGATACCTCAAAGAGATTACGTTTCGTTGTTAGCGATGACAGCTCACCCATTATGCACAAATGCTTTTGGACCGTACCGGACATTTTCTTAAATTGTGGATACGTTTCTATGAAATTTTTCATATCTGCAATACTTTCCACTTTCTTCTGATCCTTGGCCTTGCGTTGAAATTCTTCCATAAGATTTTTAATCGTTGAACCAATTTCGCCGAAGTTTGCATACATATTTCTGCCATAGAAATCATCTTGATCACCGGATAGAACAAGCTCCTTATAGTCCTTGGGAATGCCCTGCACACCAGAAAGATCAACACGATTGTTGCGTATATTCAAGAGTTCGTGGACCATGGCCTGATAGGTCCATTGATGAAGCAATGGTGTGACGGGATCATCACGTCGATCCAAAATTAAAAGCAATGGTGGTGCTGCACCATTTTCTGGATTACGAAAATCAAATAATGATGACTCTTTGGTAATTTGTTCATAAATTTGTTTGGCTAAAGCCTGGGCCATGACGGAACCGCCACGATAACGTATAACTGGGTTCAGTTTCAGGGAAAGCAAAACGGATATGACGCCTTGAACGGAACGACTTAGTGCATCAGGTAACCAATTCAAGCGATGCATGCACTTGGGTATGTTTAGGGAAAATAAATTTGGATTGACTGCCAGGAAATCGGCATACAGTTCCTTGACTTCTCTAACCGATTCGCTTTCATCACATTCTGCCAGATATTTGATGTCCGTTCGTGGTATAATGTTGCTGAAATCTGAAATTTAGATAAGTGTTGTTAGTTGAATGTTATAAATATAAAATAAAAGTGGGTCACATTTAAAAATAATAGTTAGAACTGTTCTGATTATAGATTTTCTGAACATAGATTTGAGATTAAATGTATGAATCAATAAAAAAAAATAAACGCGAAATGCCCTTCGGAGGTGGAAGTTCTATTTGAGGTTTTTCATCTATGCATGGTCTTTTAGGCCTTCTATCTATAAAAAAAATATATATTGAAGTCTTTTATTTATGGAAGGCAAGAATTTCTATCTTTAACGGATTTCTTTTCTATCTAAGGAAGACCTATGAACCCTTCCTGTATTGGTAAACCTCAAAAAGTTATTTAATTTATCGTGGTCTATTTATGAGAAACCTGTTAAAGGTCACTTATCCATAGACCTATCAAACGTTTCTATCCATAGAAGGCCTAATAGGCCCGAAAAGTTGTTTGGCCAGTATAAATAATATAAACGCATATTGTTCTATAGAAGACCCGTAAAAGATATTCATAGAACTCTTTTAAAAGGGTTTTCCGGTATAATGTTTATCTTTCATAGAAGGGTCGAAAACAAAAAAAAAACAAAACCGTCAATCTCTAGATTCCTGTTCCCTTCATTTCGTCACAACATATACGGATATCCTAATATGATAACATATGGTAGACCGACAGTTTACCCAGTCCATTATTCAAATCGCTGCAATACAAAATACTCTATCAACAGTATGGGCTAACAACAACGATATAAAATTCAAAGTATCTACCAATAATTTGACCTCTTACATCAAAACTTACACAGAAAATACGATCCATATTTGGGGCTTCTTAGTTCTTGGGCCAGCAATTGTATATTCTGTTTTGTCGGACGTATAAATACAATGCACTTCAGATATTTCATACGTTCATTTGAACGTCCCGAATCGATACGTTCAAAAAGGAAGACCTCTCGTTGCAACATATCGGACTGGGCAAATGCCATCGAAATAATACTTGTCTGCAAGGGAAAAGAAAACATAAAATAAAAGCATCAATTGTGTATGTTAACATATTTTTGTTTTTATTAATTGCATTAATCACCACCAACACCTCCCCCCGAGAAACAACAAATTCCGATTGTAATTCCACCCACCGTTTCCTTGTCCAGTAGCATAGTTTTCATCCCCGGTCCAGATTCTGTACACATTTTTTCAATGTATAATTTAATGCTAGTAATTACATTCATTTTGTTTCGTTTTTATCGCAAAATTTAACAATCGTCTAGAATTTATTTTTTTTTTCGTGACGGACAGACATAAATTCTGTTTCTTCTTCTTCTTTTTTGAATAGTTTAATGGGAAGTGATAGCATTATATAGGGATGTGTAAGTCGACTTTCGATTAATACTGTGTTTACAAAACAAAAAACAAGGCAACTGTGTTAACTACTTTTAACAGCAATGGGAAACCTATTTTTTAAAGAGCACATACAGGGTTGCCCATATTCGACGGACCTTTGGGCCCATTCCAATCGACGAGGCTTGTCCGCAGGCAACATTCTTTGCGTCAATTGAATTTTGTACGGTAACAAATGCAAATCAATGCGAATTATCCGTTGTAAAGTGGACCGAGCCATGCCCAACTGCTGAGAACGGCGTTTTTGGGATGTTCTTGGGGACCTCTCAACACTGGCTCGTACGGCAGCGATATTCTTGGCCGATCGCCTTTGTCGACTTTTATATGGCCTCTTCGGATTAGAAAGAGCCTTACCAGTCAAACATTTTTCGTATAAACGCTTAATGGTGTTCTTAGAAGGCGCACTTCTCACATTTTTTAAAAGCACGTTGAGATTTCACAATTGACTTCTTCTGTTGAATGTAAATTTCAACTATTTCAGAGCGCTCGCGTGGCATGTATTGGTTCATGGTAAAAATCTGCTTTGACTGACGCTTCAAACGCGGTATGTCATTAAGCGATGTGACATCTCTGTCAAAAGTTATGGCGTTGTCAGATGGGTCCGTCGAATATGGGCAATTCTGTACAATTCAGAAAAATATATAAAAGTGAGAATACATAAAACGCTTTTTTGACTGGCTTAAGTCATTGGAACAAAGCAAATACATAGAAGCATAAAGATAAGACAAGACAAAGCCAAATATGGCAAACCTGTCAAAATATCTCTTTTGTTACATGGTACAATAAGGAGATAGAACAGCTTCGTTAAAATACAGAAATACAGCCATGAGGCTATGCCCGCTTCCTGTCAGACTCATTCAAAATTATATGCAACAAATTGTTTTCATTTATTTTCATACTTTTCCTCATTTTTAAAACGAGTTGAATAGCACGAAAAACGAATGAAATGGCTGGACTCACGCTCAAAAATATGATCCAAACTGTTTAATTTTTCAATTTTCTGACTAAACTGGGTAATAGCTTTAATGAACAAGCCGCAATCTACGTGTCTTCCAATCATTCATTGGCTTTGAAAATATTTGGTTTTCATTTTTCAAAACAATAAATACATATACAAAATTAGCAGAAGTCGGGCACACTTAGAAAAAAATTGTAGTAAGCTGGTAGCTCTACCTTACCTGACCTCTTTGGCAAGTAAACACGATCATTTTGTTTGTTTACAAACTGCTGGACAACGAATGTTTTCTCATCGGAGAAAACCAAATTCGCCAGTTCACCACTTTCGGCCAAGCGAACCAACAATTTCGCTCTTTTGAGTTTGAGTTTATTTTCTTTCAGTTGCGGTGTAGGTTCTTGCACTTTTTGGAATTTCAATGGTTTTACACCGAGCTCATTTTTCAGTATTTGCCGAATGGAATATTCCGATATGTTCAGCTCGCGAGCCATTTTTCGGCCACTGCGACGCGGGTTTCAATCAAGTCGCTTTTCTTACTTTTCGAACCATTTCTGCTGATGTTGCTGTTTTCTTCCGTCCATTGTCTTGACGTCGGGCTACGCTACCAGTATCACGGTAACGAGCGATGGTACGAGACACAAAAGATAAAAATTAAATGCTGGAGTGCTCTAACGATAGCCACTTGTGGTTTTCCAGCCAAATATAAAGAAATCACACAATCACGCTTGAATTCCATCACGAACAACTTTTTTCTGGAAAATTCTCACCAAAATGCTTTTGTATGCTTGTAAACAATATAATGAGCTGTCACTGGAATAATTTTAACAGACATCGGACGAGTGGCTTAGAAATGACAGCAGTCTGAATTTGGTTGCAATTTTTTCATCTCACCCTGTAGATTCCGCACCGGATTTAAAAATAAAATTAAATAGCATTTACACGGTTTTGTATTTGTAGATTTTATTTGTTAAAAAATGTATAACTCTCTAAAGTTTTAGGAAATTTTTTATATCATTGAATTGATGATGCATTTTAAAATTAGTAACAAAACTTGACTAAATAAATATATACAGAAATATATATAAAATCGTATAATGTTGTTTTTTAATAAAATACAAACATAAACTTAAAAAAAGAAATAATAATAAACAAACATAATATGGATGCATACGATCAGTATATGTGTATCTATGCATGTGTGTCTTAGGATTAATCTGAGTTATTAGCACCCCAATTTGAGGGTTTTGTTGGTAAAACCTTTGGTTTTGGTGGTAAAGGTGGGGGTCCTTTACAAGCTGCACTACTAGTTTCATTAGCATCGGAATGATTTGAAGATCCCTCCCCATCGTCGGCGGCATTGCTCAGCAGGGAGTTACGTTTTAACGGCATACTCTTTTTTGCTGTCAAATGGGATGGTTTTTCCACCGGCAGTGGGGGAGGGGAAGTGGGTAGTTCGATTGTTTGAGATATAATTGGATTGATGGTCTTATTCACAGGACTTAAATTGGAACGTATTTGGCGTAATGTTAAAGCTGTTTCGTTTTGATTCTCCTTATTGTTGCGCGTATGATCCAAAGGCAACAGATTAGTGATCTGAGCAGTGCTCATCATGGGTTGACTATCAAAACGGGATTTAAGGCTTATCAGTAATTCATCTGTAATGGTGGTGAATATTGGAATTAGTTTTTTTTGTTTTAATTTAAGTTTATGTCACCTGTTTACCTTGCTTCTCGGCCACTCTTTCAGTCACTTGCAGTTTTGCACCCGCTTTTAGTTTGGCTATAATTGGTTTATTCAATTCACTTGCAGTACTTTGTACTTCACTGGAATGTTGCCGCATGAGTATGGGAATTTTTCCTCTAGATCTGAAATTGAACGATCCAGCCTTTTTGCCATTCAAAGTGTCAAAAAATAGAGATGTTTCGGAACCGCTTTCGTTGGACTAAAAAAACAAAAGAAAAAAATTATTAAAAAATTGTTTGCTATCGCTACATTTGTTATAGGCAAATTATCTACAGGTTGTGATTTCGAAGAATTTTGCATGGACACAATTTGTCGAAAATATTTCCACTGACGATTTCAACGAATTTCATCACAAAAAAATGTTAACGATACATTTCTCACAAAATAGTTTAAAAAATGTTCGACTCATTGTCCATATTAAATTCGATTTATCGACCCATTTTCTATAGAAAATTCGAGTTATCGACAAAATTGCTATAGAAAATTCGAGTTATCGGCAACAATTTTCTATAAAAAATCTGTCGATAACAACGATTTTCTATAGAAAATTGTTATCGACAAATTTTCTGTAGGAAAATTCGAGTTATCGACAAATTTCCTATAGGAAAATTCGAGTTATCGACAAATTTTCTATAGGAAAATTCGAGTTATCGACAAATTTTCTATGGGAAAATTCGAGTTATCGACAAATTTTCTATAGGAAAATTCGAGTTATCGACAAATTTTCTATAGGAAAATTCGAGTTATCGACAAATTTTCTATAGGAAAATTCGAGTTATCGACAAATTTGCTATAGGAAAATTCGAGTTATCGACAAATTTGCTTTAGGAAAATTCGAGTTATCGACAAATTTGCTATAGGAAAATTCGAGTTATCGACAAATTTGCTATATGAAAATTCGAGTTATCGACAAATTTTCTATAGGAAAATTCGAGTTATCGGAGATTTTTCTATAGAACATTCGAGTTATCGACAAAATTGCTATAGAAAATTTTAGTTATCGACAGATTTTTTATAGAAAATTGTTATCGACAGATTTTCTATAGAAAATTGTTGTTATCGACAGATTTTCTATAGAAAATTGTTGTTATCGACAGATTTTCTATAGAAAATTGTTGTTATCGACAGATTTTCTATAGAAAATTGTTGTTATCGACATATTTTCTATAAAAAATTGTTGTTATCGACAGATTTTCTACATAAAATTGTTGTTATCGACAGATTTTCTATAGAAATTTATTGTTATCGACAGATTTTCTATAAAAATTATTGTTATTGACAGATTTTCTAGAAAAAATATTGTTATCGACAAATTTTCTAGATAAAATTAGTGTTATCGACAAATTTTCTAGAGAAAATTTATCTTATCGCCAAATTTCTATAGAGAATTTACGAAAACGACAAATTTTCTATAAATTTGTTATTGACAATTTTTCGAAAGATGTTTATCGATAACAATTCCAAAACAGAGAGTTGTTATCGATATATTTTTAATATGAAAACATAAACTTCAAACACCAAGGATTCTAATTAATAAACTCACCTTCAATTCGCCCAACTCTCTCGGATGATTCGATGACATCTTCTCCTTGGAACTTAAAACATTCAGATTATTCTCGGAACTACTAATACAGTTGCTTTTAGCACTGCGTGCTATAAATTCGTTAGCCAGTTCTTTTGATTTCAAATAGTTTAAGGATATATTATCATTTTGATAATCAGCACCGTTTTTGGGAGACGGCGAGCTGATGGAATTCGTCTCCTTTAGGACGACATGCAGACGTTGACCATCAACTTTCGTTACCGATTGCATAAGATCCAGACTCTCCATTGTGTCACGCAGTAAAATATCCACTGCTGCCATGTCGTAGTGGTATTTTTGTAAAATTGACGAGATTATTTCGTGCAGTTGTTTCTTTGGTTTACTCTTGACCGATATGACTTTGGGATCGGGCAGATAGAGCTTGAAGGTTATCGTTTGTTCGACTTCCACATCTTCGCCGGCCATTACTTGTGAGCTGGCCTGCAGATCAATGGCGGTGTTTTGGGATTTGAGTTGGACCTCGTAGAGGCGATAGTGTAGACCACGTTTTTCCAGCAAACGTTCGATCAGCTGGCCCACTGTCTCGTGGGGTTTTATTTGCACAATTGTGGTGGCCTCGTCGGAGAATTTGACGCGGCACAGCAAACACGTGGCTGTATTAAGGGATTTCAGTGAGGTGGGCAAAGAGGAACGCAAGGTTTCAGCCGATTTCGATTGGGTCATTTTGGCGCCCGATGGCATGGTGAGAGTATTTAAAGCTTTGTTATCTGATCCAGCTACCTGCGAGTTGTTGTCTGTGGCATGCGATTCCGTGTCGGCATCCATGCGATCACGTGATTTACTGCGAGTCTTCCGATGCCATGGTAGCAGTATTTTACGACGACGATCTTCCGCGTTGCTGTCCGATTTTTTTAACTAGATTCGTGAAAAAAGACGAAGAGGATATCTTTGAGCATTAAGTTAGCAAACTGTAAAACTAGCCGGCATTTTTACTTACTTTTGGCGAGGCATTTTGTGAAAAATTTATCTTCAGCAGGACATCTAGGTTCTCCACACCATAGGGCAGGGGTTGATTTTTGTCCTCGGCATTTTGACAGTTCTTGTATAGATCGGAACGTATGAATCTTTGGTAGCTATCGAATTTCATCAGATGGAAAATTTGTTTTTGGGCCTTTGAGAAGAGTTCCCGGTCCGCTAACTCCAAAGCTTCGGGACTTATATTGCGGGTTTGAGAATCCAGATTTACCGGTTCGCCGCAAGTGCTGGCCAAATGTTTGTTGAAGATTTGTTTGGCCTGGGTTTGTCGCTCCGCCAGGTTCTCATTGTTGCGGTAACGTTCACAGGCTGTCCAAAAGTAAATATTCTCTGCAGAGAATTCGAGCTTAAGGAATTCAGCAAAGGTGGCCAGTCCGGCGGGATCTTCTAGCAATTGCTCAAATGAATTGGCCCATAATCCAACACGAGTTGTTTTTGTCGGCTGTGAGTTATTGGTGGTGGGGGTCATCTTTTCGGAAAATGTTCGAGCCATTGTCTGTAATTGGTGGCGTTTGACATCTTTGACAGGAACAGTACCGGCCAGAAAGACATCATCGTCGGCCGTAATCATGGAGGTGGAGGAACGAAGCTCTGGATTACAACTTTTGCTTGGACTTAGCGTATATCGATCCGAGCGTGGTGAACGCAGCGATGAATGTTCCCATACACGGCGAAAGGGTGATATACTACCGCTGCTGGGGAAAAGACGACTCTGAAAGATACAAAGGCGAGAGAGACAGAGAAAAACATTAGCGTTTTTTTCCAAACACACAAAACAAATTCATAACAATAACCTTTATACGATACACGACCACCGCTGAGGTCTTCAAACAAGACAAAACAAAAAATGTTTGCCACTGCCGGCAAATGGAAGAAGTCAATTTGAAATCACGTTTATTTTACTTTCTAACCTGTTGACAGCAAACGATCGTCTGTCTGTCTGTCCGTCCGTCCGTCTGTTTCTAAGCTATAGTATTATAAGTGACCGCATTTTCGCTGTTATTCATTAAATGTGGAACATTTGAGGCACATTTGAACTACTGCTTCAATGTTTTGCATTTTCCATTATGGCTAGTTGCCACACACACACGCACATACACACAACCATGAGCGCGAAAAAATGCATACAGGAAACAGTAATTTTCTTTCTTTTTAACTGTACATAATTTCAAACAATCTGTGAATATAATGCGTATATATGTTATTTGTTTTCCCGCAAATCACGGTGAAAATGTAAAGACTTCGGAAATGGGATTAATGGAGGAGATGTGAAACGGTTTTCAAATTCCAACCATGTTAGATTATGTCTGACTCAATTGCGTGTATTGGACAGGAGGAAGAGATATTCAGTGAGCATTTACTGTTGGGCGCCAGATTGCTAGGACTAATTTGCAGAGCCAAATTAACCATCCTTCTACACAACAACTCTCGGTCTGTTCCACAACTGCAAAAATGTAAAAAAAATTTACTTTGATAACCGATTTTCCCTTTTGAAATCGAAGAAATTGGCAAAAATAGTAGATTCTTGCTGGTTTCCAGAACGATCTCTTTGAAAATCTATTATAAGCCCTGTTTCTTTACAAAAAGCAGCAGTACAACACAAAGAAGAGCCTTGTTTACACAGTACAACTTCTACCAGTTTAAAAATTAAAGAAACAAAGCCATTTTTTATAAAGGTGAGAATACATAAAACGCTTTTTGAGCGGCTTAAGTCGTCGGCTGGCTTCTTCGGAAATGAACAAAGGAGCGTAGGGTCAAATTCGAACTAAGTCAACCTGAAATTCCTTAGTTCCTCTACGAAGAAACCAGCCAATGACTTAAGCCACTCAAAAAAACGTTTTATCTATTCTCACCTTAAGGGGTTTCACTGGACATTTCTATTTGGGCGCCAATTTGTACGTTAGAAAATAAGAGTTATCGAAAAATTTTCTGGAGAAATTTCGTGTTATCAAAAAAATTTCTGGAGAAAATTTGTGTTATCGACAAATTTTCTATAGAAGATTCGAGTTATCGACAAATTTTCTATAGAAGATTTGAGTTATCGACAAATTTTCTATAGAAGATTTGAGTTATCGACAAATTTTCTATAGAAAATTTGAGTTATTGACAAATTTTCTATAGAAGATTTGAGTTATCGACAAATTTTCTATAGAAGATTTGAGTTATCGACAAATTTTCTATAGAAGATTTGAGTTACCGACAAATTTTCTATAGAAGATTTGAGTTATCGACAAATTTTCTATAGAAGATTTGAGTTATCGACAAATTTTCTATAGAAGATTTGAGTTATCGACAAATTTTCTATAGAAGATTTGAGTTATCGCCAAATTTTCTATAGAAAATTCGAGTTATCGACAAACTGTCTATAGAAAATAGGTTTTATCGACAAATTTTCTGTAGAAATTAGATAAATTTTGTGTAGAAAATTAGAGTTATCGATTAATTTTCTAGATTTTCTAGTGTTATCCACAACTTTTCTAGACAAAATTAGCGTTATCGACAAATTTTCTATGGGAAAATTCGAGTTATCAACAAATTTTCTATAGGAAAATTCGAGTTATCGACAAATTTTCTATAGGAAAATTTGAGTTATGACAAATTTTCTATAGGAAAATTCGAGTTATCGACAAATTTTCTATAGAAAATTCGAGTTATCGACAAATATTCTATAGAAAATTCGAGTTATCGACAAGTTTTCTATAGAAAATTCGAGTTATCGACAAGTTTTCTATAGAAAATTCGAGTTATCGACAAATTTTCTAGAGAAATTTCGTGTTATCAAAAAAATTTCTATAGAAAATTTGTGTTATCGACAAATTTTACAGAGAAAATTTGAGTTTTCGACAAATTTTCTATAGAAAATTCTAGTTATCGATTAATTTTCTAGAGAAAATTATTTTTATCGATTAATTTTCTAGAGAAAATTATTTTTATCGATTAATTTTCTAGAGAAAATTAGTTTTATCGATTAATTTTCTAGAGAAAATTAGTTTTATCGACAAATTCTCTTGAGAAAATTGGTTTTATCGACAAATTTTCTATGGGAAAATTCGAGTTATCGACAAATTTTCTATAGGAAAATTCGAGTTATCAACAAATTTCTATACGAAAATTCGATTTATCGACAAATTTTTTTACTCCACAGAGAGAAAAAGGATAACCCGATTTTGCTCCAACTTACAAATCCTAGTCAAGTACCTCCGCCCCAAAAGATCAAAATTTTGAATAATTATAACTCTTATAGAATGTGATATAAGTGTCCGATTATCTAATTACACATCACAATATTCTTATTAACCCAAGGTCTGGTGTGACGATGATGGATATCGCTCCACTTCTTCTGGTACTTCCCCCATAAAGGGTCAAAAATTTAAATATTTATGAAGCCCATAAAACGCGATTCCATTTAGACTTGGTACGTTTCAATATTTCTATTAAAACTAGGTCTGTTATAAATGTGGTACAGATCGGACCATTCCTTCTGGTCCTCCCCCACAGGTGTTCACGATTTTGAAAAACAAAACTCTTGAAGAAATCGAAATAAGCATCCAATCCTCTTCAAAGTTCACACATACAAACATTTTTGCTAACACAAGATCTGCTGTGAAGATGGGATATATAGGTCCACTCCTTCTGGTACCTCTACCACATAGGGTTAAAGATTTTGAAAAACAAATCGCCTACATAGTCGCAACATTTATATCACATTTATTTAGGTCCAATACGAAATGGACAATATTGGCCCATTCTTTCGGAACCTACTACATAGAGGGTCCATAATTTGAATAATCATAACAGAATTCAATATATATTTAAATAATCTTATATTGGCTGAGGGTATACATGTGTCGGCAAAATCGACTGATACTTTTTAACTTGTTTTACCATTAAATAATAATGAATTCAATGAGCTCCCCCCGCTTGCACTCTCTTTCGTTGTTCCATATTTTTATAACAACTCTTTAATGGGCAACATTCTTCTTTCCCATTTTCCACTGTATCTTTTATATATATCTATGATTGCACATCCTTCAGCCCCACCAACACCTTTGTATTAAGCCATTAAATATATTTACACAATCAACAAATTTGTTCAATTCAATTAAAGGTAGACACAATTTGATGTGTTGCCAAGTGGCTTTACATCATTCAAATGCAAACATCCTGTGGGAACATTGCATAATCTCTCCTTTGGGTGAGAGTTTGTAGAGAGAGAGAGTACGTTTAACATAATTTCCGTTTCCTTTGTTTGTTTTTCTCTTTCTCAGTAAAACCGGTGTAAATTGGAGTGCCAATTTAAAAACAAACCTTAAATTCCCTTAGCATTTCCGTTTCCTTGTCTGTTGCGTTGCGTTTTGTTGGGCAGGGTTGACAAGCCTTGATAAGATAGCATTTGTATGAAACTAATTCCCAGGAATATTTTTAATTGATTAATAACAGATCACTTGGTGGCATACCAAAGGTATTACGCACCCTCAAACACACACGGACAGTGAGAGGGATATGAATTGCAAGCCACGAAAAATGAAACTAATTATCGCAACTACTAATTGCCAATGTTTGAAAGAAACTAATGCCTATTTTTTTTGGACACAGACTATCGTTGTGTCCAGTATTGCAAAAAAAAGTGAAAAGTCAAAACGTGATCAATTGATCGATATTATTTTGACAGTCACAATACTAAAAATTTCTTCTATTAGAAATTAAAATGTATTAATCAAGTCATAGATAATAATGATGGTTGATGACGACGACGGTGGTGGTCTTACATTTTTATTGTTATTATTACTTGCTGTTGTTGTCGCCTTTGTTGTTATATTCCAAGAGTTGTTACTGTGTTGTGAATGAAGGTGAACTTTGATTATGATTTGTAATAGTCTTTTTTTTGAATAATTTCTTCAATTGATTTTTTTATTTATGATTTTTTGCCACTTTTCACATTTTTTTATTTTTGACATTTGGGCATTGAGACAATTTTTGTGTCGTCTGTTGTTGTTGTTTTTTTTTGGTTGTCATTGCCTGACTTATTTGTTTGATTGCGAAATTTCTTTTTTAATTCGTTAGCGCACCGACGACTGCCACAATAGTATCTTCACTTGCCGACGCCATATTAGTAATATCACCAAACTTCAACGCTCACAATACAACTGAAAATGTTTTTTTTTTCGCAAAAGTCAAGAAAGAAAAATAGATTTTTTTGTTGTTCGTTTGTCAGTCGAACGGTCGGTCGGTAGGCCGGTCGGTTGGTTGTCGTTTCATATACGCCACATCTTTCATTCATACGCCCTGCCCTGAGATACCCCCCCCATCTGTATCGGTCGGTCGGACGGTCACTACGTATTGCCGGGCGGTGGGGCATGCATATGCGTCCATTATACTTACGCTGGTATTTGTTTGGTATTTACGACAGACAAACAACAACTACGACGGCGACAACGTCCGCAGCAATGATGAACAACAACAACAACGAACAGCAGTAACAACAATTCATTGTGTATTCTCCACAAGCCATCATCTACTTACTATCCATCCATCGATTCACCAGGGCACCACGACACCACCATTACTACCACCACTACCAACAATCGCCGACCGCCACAGCAGGCAGTTGTTATTCTGATGAGTTGTAGTGACGGTGGAAAGTGAAGTGTGTGTACTTTAATTGACCGACCCACCAGCCGAACAAACACACAGCGAGCGGTTAGAGAAAGA